GGATTTGGGGATCTGATTGGATTGGTGTGTGGGGATCTGATTGGATTGGTGTGTGGGGATCTGATTGGATTGGTGTGGGGGTATTGGATGAGGTGTGGGGGAACTGATTGGTATGGTGTGGGACCCTACAGCTGATTCATGGATTGGTGTGTGGGGATCTGATTAGGGATTGGTGTGTGGGGATCTGATTGGATTGGGTGTGGGGATGATTGGTTTGTAGTGTGGTGTGTGGGGATCTGATTGGATTGGTGTTGGATCTGATTGGTGTGGGGATCTGATTGGATTGGTGTGTGGGGATCTGATTGGATTGGGTGTGGGGATCTGATTGGATTGGTGTGTGGGGATCTGATTGGATTGGTGTGGGATCTGATTGGATTGGTGTGTGGGGATCTGATTGGATTGGTGTGTGGGGATCTGATTGGATTGGTGTGTGGGGATCTGATTGGATTGGTGTGTGGGGATCTGATTGGATTGGTGGTGTGGGGATCTGATTGGATTGGTGTGTGGATCTGATTGGATTGGTGTGTGGGGATCTGATTGGATTGGTGTGTGGGGATCTGATTGGATTGGTGTGTGGGGATCTGATTGGATTGGTGTGTGGGGATCTGATTGGATTGGTGTGTGGGGATCTGATTGGATTGGTGTGTGGGGATCTGATTGGATGGTGTGTGGGGATCTGATTGGCTATTGGTGTGTGGGGATCTGATGATTGGTGTGTGGGGATCTGATTGGATTGGTGTGTGGGGATCTGATTGGATTGGTGTGTGGGGATCTGATTGGATTGGTGTGTGGGGATCTGATTGGATAGGTGTGTGGGGATCTGATTGGATTAGGTGTGTGGGGATCTGATTGGATTGGTGTGTGGGGATCTGATTCTGATTGGATCTGATTGTGTGGGGATCTGATTGGATTGGTGTGTGGGGATCTGATTGGATTGGTGTGTGGGGATCTGATTGGATTGGTGTGTGGGGGATCTGATTTGGATTGGTGTGTGGGGATCTGATTGGATTGGTGTGTGGGGATCTGATTGGATTAGGTGTGTGGGGATCTGATTGGATTGGTGTGGGGATCTGATTGGATTAGGTGTGTGGGGATCTGATTGGATTGGTGTGGGGATCTGATTGGATAGGTGTGTGTGGGGATCTGATTGGATTAGGTGTGTGGGGATCTGATTGGATAGGTGTGTGGGGATCTGATTGGCTAGGTGTGTGGGGATCTGATTGGATTGGTGTGTGGGGATCTGGTTGGATAGGTGTGTGGGGATCTGATTGGATAGGTGTGTGGGGATCTGATTGGATTGGTGTGGGATCTGATTGGATAGGTGTGTGGGGATCTGGTTGGATAGGTGTGTGGGGATCTGATTGGATTGGTGTGTGGGGATCTGATTGGATAGGTGTGTGGGGATCTGGTTGATTAGGTGTGTGGGGATGGGGATCTGATTGATTGGTGTGTGGGGATCTGATTGGATAGGTGTGTGGGGATCTGATTGGATAGGTGTGTGGGGATCTGATTGGATTGGTGTGTGGGGATCTGATTGGATAGGTGTGTGGGGATCTGATTGGATTGGTGTGGGGATCTGATTGGATTGGTGTGTGGGGATCTGATTGGATTGGTGTGGGATCTGATTGGATAGGTGTGTGGGGATCTGATTTGGTGTAGGATGTTGGGGATCTGATTGATTGGTGTGTGTGGATCTGATCTGGTTGATAGGTGTGTGGGGATCTGATTGGATAGGTGTGTGGGGATCTGATTGGATTGGTGTGTGGGGATCTGATTGGATTTGGTGTGGGGATCTGATTGGATTGTGTGTGGGGATCTGATTGGATTGGTGTGTGGGGATCTGATTGGATTGGTGTGTGGGGATCTGATTGGATTGGTGTGTGGGGATCTGATTGGATTGGTGTGGGGATCTGATTGGATTGGTGTGTGGGGATCTGATTGGATTGGTGTGGGGATCTGATTGGATTGGTGTGTGGGGATCTGATTGGATTGGTGTGGGGATCTGATTGGATTGGTGTGGGGATCTGATTGGATGGTGTGTGGGGATCTGATTGGATAGGTGTGTGGGGATCTGATTGGATGGGTGTGTGGGGATCTGATTGGATAGTGTGTGTGGGGATCCGATTGGATTGGTGTGTGGGGATCTGATTGGATTGGTGTGGGGATCTGATTGGATTGGTGTGTGGGGATCTGATTGGATTGGTGTGTGGGGATCTGATTGGATTGGTGTGGGGATCTGATTGGATAGGTGTGTGGGGATCTGATTGGATTGGTGTGTGGGGATCTCTGATTGGATTGGTGTGGGGATCTGATTGGATTGGTGTGGGGATCTGATTGGATAGGTGTGTGGGGATCTGATTGGATTGGTGTGGGGATCTGATTGGATAGGTGTGTGGGGATCTGATTGGATTGGTGTGTGGGGATCTGATTGGATAGGTGTGTGGGGATCTGATTGGATTGGTGTGTGGGGATCTGAATGGATTGGTGTGGGGATCTGATTGTGGATTGGGTGTGATTGGGGATCTGATTTGGGGATCTGATTGGATTGGTGTGTGGGGATCTGATTGGATTGGTGTGGGGATCTGATTGGATTGGTGTGTGGGGATCTGATTGGATAGGTGTGTGGGGATCTGATTGGATAGGTGTGTGGGGATCTGATTGGATTGGTGTGTGGGGATCTGATTGGATTGGTGTGGGGATCTGATCTGGATTGGATTGGTGTGTGGGGATCTGATTGGATTGGTGTGTGGGGATCTGATTGGATTGGTGTGGGATCTGATTGGATTGTGTGTGGGGATCTGATTGGATTGGTGTGTGGGGATCTGATTGGATAGGTGTGTGGGGATCTGATTGGATTGGTGTGTGGGGATCTGATTGGATTGGTGTGTGTGGGGGATCTGATTGGATTGGTGTGGTGATCTGATTGGATTGGTGTGTGGGGATCTGATTGGATAGGTGTGTGGGGATCGATTGGATTGGTGTGTGTGGGATCTGATTGGATTGATTGTGTGGGGATCTGATTGGATTGGTGTGGGGATCCGATTGGATTGGTGTGGGGATCCGATTGGATTGGTGTGTGGGGATCTGATTGGATAGGTGTGTGGGGATCTGATTGGATTGGTGTGGGGATCTGATTGGATTGGTGTGGGGATCTGATTGGATTGGTGTGTGGGGATCTGATTGGATTGGTGTGGGGATCTGATTGGATTGGTGTGGGGATCTGATTGGATTGGTGTGGGGATCTGATTGGATTGGTGTGGGGATCTGATTGGATTGGTGTGGGGATCTGATTGGATTGGTGTGGGGATCTGATTGGATTGTGTGTGGGGATCTGATTGGATTGGTGTGGGGATCTGATTGGATTGGTGTGTGGGGATCTGATTGGATTGGTGTGTGGGGATCTGATTGGATTGGTGTGGGGATCTGATTGGATAGGTGTGTGGGGATCTGTTGGATTGGTGTGGGATCTGATTGGATTGGTGTGGGGATCTGATTGGATTGGTGTGGGGATCTGATTGGATAGGTGTGTGGGGATCTGATTGGATAGGTGTGTGGGGATCTGATTGGATTGGTGTGGGGATCTGATTGGATTGGTGTGGGGATCTGATTGGATAGGTGTGTGGGGATCTGATTGGATTGGTGTGGGGATCTGATTGGATTGGTGTGGGGATCTGATTGGATTGGTGTGTGGGGATCTGATTGGATAGGTGTGTGGGGATCTGATTGGATTGGTGTGGGGATCTGATTGGATAGTGTGTGGGGATCTGATTGGATTGGTGTGGGGATCTGATTGGATTGGTGTGGGGATCTGATTGGATTGGTGTGTGGGGATCTGATTGGATTGGTGTGTGGGGATCTGATTGGATTGGTGTGGGGGATCTGATTGGATTGGTGTGTGGGGATCTGATTGGATAGGTGTGTGTGGGATCTGATTGGATTGGTGTGGGATCTGATTGGATTGGTGTGGGGATCTGATTGGATTGGTGTGTGGGGATCTGATTGGATAGGTGTGTGGGGATCTGATTGGATTGGTGTGGGGATCTGATTGGATTGGTGTGTGGGGATCTGAACACCCGTCATACACACACGTGATTGTCCATGTGGGCAGATTTCTGGCCATCCCGTGTGGCTGTCCTGGCTGATGTCCCTCACTCAGCAGTGGGGAGGAGTCTGGAGGAACGGGTCGTCTCCCATGACGAGGGGAACTTGTCACCTGAGGTCTCCATACACCAACCAGATCTGATCCTAATGGAGAGTTTCCTCCAGAATGGTCATTAGAAAGGCCTGGAGGTGGTGGGGGGGGGGTACTTGCCTGATATCCAAAGTTGTGGAATTTCGGGAGGTACCATTGCAGATCAGCCTTGTGGTCCCTGAGGAGATCCCTTCTTTACAGCCAACTTGTACATTTGCCCGGTGTAAGCAGCATGGGGGTCCATGAAGGGGTGAGGCCATTCTCATGGTCCTAATCTTTGTGGTCTTCTTGAAGTCATGGGGGTCCATGAAGGGGTGAGGCCATTCTCATGGTCCGAATCTCTTTGTGGTCTTCTTGCAGTCATGGGGGTCCATGAAGGGGTGAGGCCATTCGGATGGTCCTAATCTTTGTGGTCTTCTTGCAGTCATGGGGGTCCATGAAGGGGTACGGCCATTCTGATGGTCCTAATCTTTGTGGTCTTCTTGCAGTCATGGGGGTCCATGAAGGGGTGAGGCCATTCGGATGGTCCCTAATCTTCGTGGTCTTCTTGCAGTCATGGGGGTCCATGAAGGGGTGAGGCCATTCTGATGGTCCTAATCTTTGTGGTCTTCTTGCAGTCATGAGGGTCCATGAACGGTTGAGGCCATTCTGATGGTCCTAATCTTTGTGGTCTTCTTGCAGTCATGGGGGCCATGAAGGGGTGAGGCCATTCTCATGGTCCTAATCTTTGTGGTCTTCTTGCAGTCATGGGGGTCCATGAAGGGGTACGGCCATTCTCATGGTCCTAATCTTTGTGGTCTTCTTGCAGTCATGAGGGTCCATGAAGGGGTGAGGCCATTCTCATGGTCCTAATCTTTGTGGTCTTCTTGCAGTCATGGGGGTCCATGAAGGGGTGAGGCCATTCTCATGGTCCTAATCTTTGTGGTCTTCTTGCAGTCATGGGGGTCCATGAAGGGGTGTACAGCCATTCTGATGGTCCTAATCTTTGTGGTCTACTTGCAGTCATGGGGGGTCCATGAAGGGGTACGGCCATTCTGATGGTCCTAATCTTTGTGGTCTTCTTGCAGTCATGGGGGTCCATGAAGGGGTGAAGCCATTCTGATGGTCCTAATCTTTGTGGTCTTCTTGAAGTCATGAGGGTCCATGAAGGGGTACGGCCATTCTGATGTCCTAATCTTTGTGGTCTTCTTGCAGTCATGGGGGTCCATGAAGGGGTGAGGCCATTCTGATGGTCCTAATCTTTGTGGTCTTCTTGCAGTCATGGGGGTCCATGAAGGGGTGAAGCCATTCTGATGGTCCTAATCTTTGTGGTCTTCTTGCAGTCATGGGGGTCCATGAACGGTTGAGGCCATTCTGATGGTCCTAATCTTTGTGGTCTTCTTGCAGTCATGGGGGTCCATGAATGGGTGAGGCCATTCTCATGGTCCTAATCTTTGTGGTCTTCTTGCAGTCATGGGGGTCCATGAAGGGGTACGGCCATTCTCATGGTCCTAATCTTTGTGGTCTTCTTGCAGTCATGGGGGTCCATGAAGGGGTGAGGCCATTCTCATGGTCCTAATCTTTGTGGTCTTCTTGCAGTCATGGGGGTCCATGAAGGGGTGAGGCCATTCTGATGGTCCTAATCTTTGTGGTCTTCTTGCAGTCATGGGGGTCCATGAACGGTTGAGGCCATTCTCATGGTCCTAATCTTTGTGGTCTTCTTGCAGTCATGGGGGTCCATGAAGGGGTGAGGCCATTCTCATGGTCCTAATCTTTGTGGTCTTCTTGCAGTCATGGGGGTCCATGAAGGGGTGAGGCCATTCTGATGGTCCTAATCTTTGTGGTCTTCTTGCAGTCATGAGGGTCCATGAACGGTTGAGGCCATTCTGATGGTCCTAATCTTTGTGGTCTTCTTGCAGTCATGGGGGTCCATGAACGGTTGAGGCCATTCTCATGGTCCTAATCTTTGTGGTCTTCTTGCAGTCATGGGGGTCCATGAAGGGGTGAGGCCATTCTCATGGTCCTAATCTTGTGGTCTTCTTGAAGTCATGGGGTCCATGAAGGGGTGAGGCCATTCTCATGGTCCTAATCTTTGTGGTCTTCTTGCAGTCATGGGGGTCCATGAAGGGGTGAGGCCATTCTGATGGTCCTAATCTTTGTGGTCTTCTTGCAGTCATGGGGGTCCATGAAGGGTTGATGGGCCATTCTTATGGTCCTAATGGGGTCTTTGTGGTCTTCTTGCAGTCATGGGGGTCCATGAAGGGGTGAGGCCATTCTCATGGTCCTAATCTTTGTGGTCTTCTTGCAGTCATGGGGGTCCATGAAGGGGTGAGGCCATTCTGATGGTCCTAATCTTTGTGGTCTTCTTGCAGTCATGGGGGTCCATGAAGGGGTGAGGCCATTCTCATGGTCCTAATCTTTGTGGTCTTCTTGCAGTCATGGGGGTCCATGAAGGGGTGAGGCCATTCTGATGGTCCTAATCTTTGTGGTCTTCTCTTGCAGTCATGGGGGTCCATGAAGGGGTGAGGCCATTCTGATGGTCCTAATCTTGTGGTCTTCTTGCAGTCATGGGGGTCCATGAAGGGGTGAGGCCATTCTGATGGGTCCTAATCTTTGTGGTCTTCTTGCAGTCATGAGGGTCCATGAAGGGGTGAGGCCATTCTCATGGTCCTAATCTTTGTGGTCTTCTTGCAGTCATGGGGGTCCCGTTGCGGAGCCTGCGGCACAGTTCTATGGTGGAGGAGTCTGTGGATTGTTTGCTGCAGCGCACAGTGGAGGACGTCCTTCCTTCTGCCCCGTCCTCCTCCAGTCCTGCCAGGGGGCACAGCCGGGACAAAGGCCAGAGCCGGTCAGAGACACCTGCCATGGAATCTCCTGCGGACGGCTCCTCGTCTGGTCGTCTGCCAGGCCTGAAGAGAAGTGTGGTGGAGGCCATTCACAAGCAGGCTCGCAGGATGTACGGCTACGACAAAATCCTGGCCTCCAAGAAGAACATGGACCATGTCAATAAAATCCTGAAGGCCAAACTGCAGAGACAGTCCCGGACTGGGGAACAACATCGTGAAGAGGAGGCCGGGGAGGCCCAGGAAGTATCCTCCAGACTCCCTACTGGCCATGCCGCTGGTCAGCCAGCAGGAGCACAGCAGTGCCCGATCAGACACCGTGACGGACATTATCGAGGCCGTAGTGCAGGGGGTCAGTCTGACCACCGAGCACCGCAAGGGCTGGAAGAGGAAGCATTTCAGTGTAGACAAGCAGATGAGGAAACGTCTGAGGACCTCATTGGATTGAAGACCATGAGAGCAGTACCAGGAGAGCAGTACAAGGTCGGCTGCTCAGTCTCCTCCAGTCACTTCCCCTCTCCTCCAGTCACTTCCCCTCTCCTCCAGTCACTTCCCCCCCTCTCCTCCAGTCACTTCCCCTCTCCTCCAGTCACTCCCCTCCTCTCCTCCAGTCACTCCCCTCTCCTCCAGTCACTTCCCCTCTCCTCCAGTCACTTCCCCTCTCCTCCAGTCCACTTCCCCCTCTCCTCCAGTCACAGTCACTTCCCCCTCTCCTCTCCTCCAGTCACTTCCCCTCTCCTCCAGTCACTTCCCCTCTCCTCCAGTCACTTCCCCTCCAGTCACTTCCCTCTCCTCCAGTCACTTCCCCTCTCCCTCCAGTCACTTCACTTCCAGTCACTTCCCCCTCCTCTCCTCAGTCACTTCCCCTCTCCTCCAGTCACTCTCCCCTCTCTCCTCCAGTCACTTCCCCCCTCCTCTCCTCCAGTCACTTTCTCCTCTCCTCCAGTCACTTTCCTCTCCTCCAGTCACTTCCTCTCCCCTCCAGTCACTTCCCCTTCCCTCTCCTCACTCCCTCCTCCAGTCACTTCCCCTCTCCTCTCCTCCAGTCACTTCCCCTCCCCTCCTCCCTCCTCCAGTCACTTCCCTCCTCCCCCTCTCCTCTCCAGTCACTTCCCCCTCTCTCCTCCAGTCACTTCCCCTCCTCCCTCCTCCAGTCAGTCACTTCCCCCCCTCTCCTCCAGTCACTTCCCCTCTCCTTCCTCCAGTCACTTCCCCTCTCCCTCTCCCAGTCACTTCCCCTCTCCTCCTCTCCTCCAGTCACTTCCCCTCTCCTCCAGTCCTTCCCTCTCCTCCAGTCACTTCCCCTCCCTCTCCTCCAGTCACTTCCCCTCTCCTCCAGTCACTTTCCCTCTCCTCCAGTCCTCCAGTCACTTCCTTCCCCTCTCCCCAGTCTCCTCTCCTCCAGTCCAGTCACTTCCCCTCTCCTCCAGTCACTTCCCCCTCTCCTCCTCCTCCAGTCACTTCCCCTCTCCCTCCTCCAGTCACTTCCCCTCTCCTCTCCTCAGTCACTTCCCCTTTCCCCTCTTCCCCTCTCCTCCAGTCACTTCCCCTCTCCTCCCTCCCCAGTCACTTTCCCCTCTCTCCTCCCAGTCACTTCCCCTCTCCTCTCCTCCAGTCACTTCCCCTCTCCTCCTCCAGTCACTTCCCCTCTCCTCCAGTCACTTCCCCTCTCCTCCAGTCACTTCCCCTCTCCTCTCCTCCAGTCACTTCCCCTCTCCTCTCCAGTCACGTTTCCCTCTTCCTCCAGTCCTCTCCTCCAGTCACTTCCCCTCTCTCCTCCAGTCCCCTCACTTCCCCTCCTCCAGTCACTTCCCCTCTCCTCCAGTCACTTCCCCTCTCCTCTCCTCCAGTCACTTTTCCCCTCTCCTCTCCTCCAGTCACTTCCCCCTCCTCTCCTCTCCAGTCACTTCCCCTCTCCTCTCCTCCAGTCACTCCCCCTCCTCTCCTCAGTCATTTCCCCTCTCCCTCTCCTCCAGTCACTTTTCTCCTCCTCCTCTCCCCTCCTCCAGTCACTTCCCCTCTCCTCCAGTCACTTCCCCTCTCTCCTCAGTCACTTCCCCTCTCCTCTCCTCCAGTCACTTCCCCTTCTCCATCCTCCCTCCCCTCTCCTCTCCTCCAGTCACTTCCCCCTCCAGTCACTTCTCTCCTCCAGTCACTTCTCCCTCCTCCTCCAGTCACTTCCCCTCTCCTCTCCTCCAGTCACTTCCCTCTCCTCCAGTCCTTCCCCTCTCTCCTCTCCTCCAGTCACTTCCCTTTCCCTCTCCCCCCTCCTCCAGTCACTTCCCCTCTCCTCCAGTCACTTCCCCCTCCTCTCCTCCAGTCACTTCCTCCTCTCCTCCCCAGTCACTTCCCCTCTCCTCCAGTCACTTCCCCCTCCTCCTCCTCCAGTCATTTCCCCTCTCCCCCTCCTCGTTTCCCCCTCTCCTCCAGTCACTTCCCCTCTCCTCCTCCTCCTCCAGTCACTTCCCCTCTCCTCTCCTCCAGTCACTTTTTCCCTCTCTCTCCAGTCACTTCCCCTCTCCTCCAGTCACTTCCCCTCTCCTCTCCTCCAGTGATTTCCCCTCTCCTCTCCTCCAGTCACTTCCCCTCTCCTCTCCTCCAGTCTTTCCCCTCTCCTCTCCTCCAGTCACTTCCCCTCTCCTCTCCTCCAGTCACTTCCCCTCCCCTCCTCCAGTCACTTCCCCCCTCTCCTCCTCCCAGTCACTTCCCCTCTCCTCCAGTCACTTCCCTCTCCTCCCTCTCTCTCCAGTCACTTCCCCTCCCTCTCCTCCAGTCATTTCCCCTCTCCTCTCCTCCAGTCACTTCCCCTCCCAGTCTTCCCCTCTCCTCTCAGTCACTTCCCTCTCCTCCAGTCACTTCCCCTCTCTCCTCCAGTCATTTCCCCTCTCCTCTCCTCCAGTCATTTTCCCCTCTCCTCTCCTCCAGTCACTTCCCCTCCTCCTCCAGTCACTTCCCCTCTCCTCCAGTCATTTCCCCTCTCCTCTCCTCTCCAGTCAGTCGTTCCCTCCTCTCCTCTCCTCCCAGTCGTTTCCCCTCTCCTCTCCTCCAGTCACTTCCCCTCCCTCTCCTCCAGTCACTTCCTCTCCCTCCTCCAGTCATTTCCCCTCTCCTCTCCTCCAGTCACTTTCTCCTCCTCTCCTCCTTCCCCTCTCCTCTCCTCAGTCTTCTCCTCTCCTCCAGTCACTTCCCCTCTCCTCTCCTCCAGTCACTTCCCCCTCCTCTCCTCCAGTCATTTCCCCTCTCCTCTCCTCCAGTCATTTCCCCTCTCCTCTCCTCCAGTCATTTCCCCTCTCCTCTCCTCCAGTCATTTCCTCTCCTCTCCTCCAGTCGTTTCCCCTCCTCTCCTCCAGTCGTTTCCCCTCTCCTCCAGTCCTCCCTCTCCTCGTTTCCCCTCTCCTCTCCTCCAGTCGTCTCCCCCTCTCCTCCAGTCGTTTCCCCTCTCCTCCAGTCGTCGTTCCCCTCTCCTCTCCTCCAGTCGTTTTCCCCTCTCCTCTCCTCCAGTCATTTCCCCTCTCCTCCAGTCGTTTCCCCTCTCTCCTCCAGTCGTTTCCCCTCTCCTCTCCTCCAGTCTTTCCCCTCTCTCCCGTTTCCTCTCCTCTCCAGTCATTTCCCCTCTCCTCTCCTCCAGTCATTTCCCCCCCTCTCCTCCCTCGTTTCCATCCTTCCCTCTGTCCTCTCTCTCCAGTCGTTTCCCCCTCTCCTCTCCTCCAGTCGTTCCCCCCTCTCCTCCAGTCGTTTTCTCCTCTCCTCCAGTCACTTCCCCTCTCCTCTCCTCCAGTCACTTCCCCTCTCCTCTCCTCTCCAGTCACTTCCCCTCTCCTCTCCTCCAGTTTCCCCTCTCTCCTGTCTCTCCTCCAGTCGTTTCCCCCTCCTCTCCTCCAGTCACGTTTCCCCCCTCTCCTCCAGTCACTTCCCCTCTCCTCTCCTCCAGTGATTTCCTCTCCTCCTCTCCTCCAGTCACTTCCCCTCTCCTCTCCTCCAGTCGTTTCCCCTCTCCTCCTCCAGTCGTTTCCCCTCTCCTCCAGTCACTTCCCCTCTCCTCTCCTCCTGTCGTTTCCTCTCTCCTCTCCTCCAGTCAGTTCTACTCTCTTCTCTTCCAGTCTGGCGGAGATCTCTTTCATCGGTGACCCCTCGGGTCGGGACATCAGCCGGTGTCACCAGGAACGAGTGGAGGCGTTTTCCCGTCACCTGGCCCCCCTCCTGCAGCGGGAGAAGAAGGTTGCACGTCCCCCCCCAAAAAGAAATACCAAAAGGCTGGACTCTTCTCTGATGTCTACAAGACCACCGAGTGAGTGCCGGGAGGGGTGCCCTTCACTGCCCCGGACTGGGGGGGTCCTTCACTGCCCCGGACTGGGGGTGCCCTTCACTGCCCCGGACTGGGGGTGCCCTTCACTGCCCCGATCTGGGGGTGCCCTTCACTGCCCCGATCTGGGGGTGCCCTTCACTGCCCCGGACTGGGGGTGCCCTTCACTGCCCCGGACTGGGGGTGCCCTTCACTGCCCCGATCTGGGGGTGCCCTTCACTGCCCCGGACTGGGGGTGCCCTTCACTGCCCCGATCTGGGGGTGCCCTTCACTGCCCCCAACTGGGGGTGCCCTTCACTGCCCCGATCTGGGGGGGTCCTTCACTGCCCCGGACTGGGGGTGCCCTTCACTGCCCCGATCTGGGGGTGCCCTTCACTGCCCCCGATCTGGGGGTGCCCTTCACTGTCCCGATCTGGGGGTGCCCTTCACTGCCCCCAACTGGGGGTGCCCTTCACTGCCCCGATCTGGGGGGGTCCTTCACTGCCCCGGACTGGAGGTGCCCTTCACTGCCCCGATCTGGGGGTGCCCTTCACTGCCCCCAACTGGGGGTGCCCTTCATTGACCCGATCTGGGGGGGTCCTTCACTGCCCCAACTGGGGGTGCCCTTCACTGCCCCAATCTGGGGGTGCCCTTCACTGCCCCAATCTGGGGGTGCCCTTCACTGCCCCGATCTGGGGGTGCCCTTCACTGCCCCCAACTGGGGGTGCCCTTCACTGCCCCGATCTGGGGGTGCCCTTCACTGCTCCCAACTGGGGGTGCCCTTCACTGTCCCCAATCTGGGGGTGCCCTTCACTGCCCCGATCTGGGGGGGTCCTTCACTGCCCCGATCTGGGAGGGTCCTTCATTGCCCCGGACTGGGGGTGCCCTTCACTGCCCCCAACTGGGGGTGCCCTTCACTGCCCCCGACTGGGGGTGCCCTTCACTTCCCCCAACTGGGGATGCCCTTCACTGCCCCGATCTGGGGGTGCCCTTCACTGCCCCCAACTGGGGGTGCCCTTCACTGCCCCCAACTGGGGGTGCCCTTCACTGCCCCGATCTGGGGGTGCCCTTCACTGCCCCCGACTGGGAGTACCCTTCACTGCCCCGAACTGGGGGTGCCCTTCACTGCCCCAACTGGGGGTGCCCTTCACTGCCCCCAACTGGGGGTGCCCTTCACTGCTTCAAACTGGGGGTGCCTTCACTGCCCAAACTGGGGGTGCCCTTCACTGCCCCAACTGGGGGTGCCCTTCACTGCCCCGATCTGGGGGTGCCCTTCACTGCCCCAAATTGGGGGATCCCTTCACTGCCCCCAACTGGGGGTGCCCTTCACTGCCCTGATCTGGGGGTGCCCTTCACTGCCCCAAACTGGGGGTGCCCTTCACTGCCCCAAACTGGGGTGTCTTCTGCCACTGTGCTGACCCAGGACCAGGGGAATACATTGTGCTGACCCAGAACCAGGGGACTGTGCTGACCCAGAACCAGGGGACTGTGCTGACCCAGAACCAGGGGACTGTGCTGACCCAGAACCAGGGGACTGTGCTGACCCAGAACCAGGGGACTGTGCTGACCCAGAACCAGGGGACTGTGCTGACCTAGAACCAGGGGAATACATTGTGCTGACCCAGAACCAGGGGACTGTGCTGACCCAGAACCAGGGGACTGTGCTGACCCAGAACCAGGGGACTGTGCTGACCCAGAACCAGGGGACTGTGCTGACCCAGAACCAGGGGACTGTGCTGACCCAGAACCAGGGGACTGTGCTGACCTAGAACCAGGGGAATACATTGTGCTGACCCAGAACCAGGGGACTGTGCTGACCCAGAACCAGGGGACTGTGCTGACCCAGAACCAGGGGACTGTGCTGACCCAGAACCAGGGGACTGTGCTGACCCAGAACCAGGGGACTGTGCTGACCCAGAACCAGGGGACTGTGCTGACCCAGAACCAGGGGGACTGTGCTGACCCAGAACCAGGGGACTGTGCTGACCCAGAACCAGGGGACTGTGCTGTCTTTGGGTCTTAGTTCCTGTTGGTTTCTGGATGGTGGGGGAGGGATCTTGTGGGAATATTTGGGGTCACAGTGATCAGAACCCCTCCAGAGGGACCCAATGAAGGCCCGGCAGAGGTTCTGGATGGATGTGCGCCTGTGGTGATCTCACGCCGTCTCCTCATCTTACAGCCCAAAGAGTCGTCTGATGCAGCTGAAGAAGGAGAAATTGGAATATAACCCGAAGGAGCACGAGTACGGTCTGCTGCCGGCCCCCATCCACATCGGTGAGTGGCTCCGCCTCCTCAGAGCCCTGCGAATGGGCGGGATTGTGTCCATCCGGGGTGGTGTAGGGGTGTCCATCCCGGTGTAGGTGTGTACCGGGGAGGTGTAGGGGTGTCCATCCGGGGAGGTGTAGGGGTGTCCAACCGGGGCGGTGTAGGGGTGTCCATCCGGGGCGGTGTAGGGGTGTCCAACCGGGTGTAGGGGTGTCCAACCGGGGGGTGTCCAACCGGGGTGTAGGGGTGTCCCATCCGGGGAGGTGTAGGGGTGTCCATCCGGGGAGGTGTAGGGGTGTCCCATCCGGGGAGGTGTAGGGGTGTCCAATCCGGGGCGGTGTAGGGGTGTCCATCCGGGGGTGAGGTGTCCATCCGGGGAGGGGGTGTCCATCCCGGTGTAGGGGTGTCCCATCCCGGGAGGTGTAGGGGTGTCCCATCCGGGGAGGTGTAGGGGTGTCCATCCGGTGTTTAGGGGTGTCCAACCGGGGCGGTGTAGGGGTGTCCCATCCGGGGAGGTGTAGGGGTGTCCCATCCCGGGAGGTGTAGGGGTGTCCCATCCGGGAGGTGTAGGGGTGTCCCATCCCGGGGAGGTGTAGGGGTGTCCCATCCCGGGAGGTGTAGGGGTGTCCCATCCGGGGCGGTGTAGGGGTGTCCCATCCGGGGAGGTGTGTATCCGGGGGTGTGTCCCATCCGGGAGGTGTAGGGGTGTCCCAGGGAGGTGTAGGGGTGTCCCATCCGGGAGGTGTAGGGGTGTCCCATCCCGGGAGGTGTAGGGTGTCCCATCCGGGGCGGTGTAGGGGTGTCCCATCCCGGGGAGGTGTAGGGTGTCCATCCGGGAGGTGTAGGGGGTGTCCCATCCGGGGAGGGAGGTGTAGGGGTGTCCCATCCGGGGAGGTGTAGGGGTGTCCCATCCGGGGAGGTGTAGGGGTGTCCCATCCGGGAGGTGTAGGGGTGTACCCATCGGGGAGGAGGTGTAGGGGTGTCCCATCCCGGGAGGTTAGGGGTGTCCCATCCGGGGAGGTGTAGGGGTGTCCCATCCCGGGAGGTGTAGGGGTGTACACACACACACATGTACACACACACACACACACATGTACACACACACACACATGTACACACACACACGTACACACACACACATGTACACACACACACACATGTACACACACACACACACACACATGTACACACACACACACATGTACACACACACACATGTACACACACACACACATGTACACACACACACACACACACATGTACACACACACACACATGTACACACACACACACACATGTACACACACACACACATGTACACACACACACACACATGTACACACACACATGTACACACACACACACATGTACACACACACACATGTACACACACACACATGTACACACACACACATGTATGTACACACACACACATGTACACACACACATGTACACACACACATGTACACACACACATGTACACACACACACACACACACATGTACACACACACATGTACACACACACACACATGTACATACACACACACATGTACACACACACACACACACATGTACACACATGTACACACACACACACACATGTACACACACACACACATGTACACACACACATGTACACACACACACACATGTACACACACACATGTACACACACACACATGTACACACACACACATGTACACACACACACACATGTACACACACACACATGTACACACACACACATGTACACACACACACACACTCCGCCAGGGTCTAGGGTTTCAGCGTTCTATTCTGGGCCGGATTCCTGACCTCGGCTCCACCACAGACAGACTGTTCCGTGTTCCTCTGGCTGCCGGCCCCGGGCCCTCAATGAGGCTTTTGTCTCCTCCGGTGAGGTCATCCCAGAAACAGCCAATTCCCAGCCCAGCCCCCCGCTTCCTGGAACCCGCCGGCACCCCGCGCATGAGGAGCGAGGGGGAGAAAATACATCTTCATATTGTACTTCTCCCCCACTGACCGGCCATCTGGGCTCCTCCTGACCCCCCCACGGGAGGAACTCCGCACAGAGGAGCGTGTATGGAAAGTGTTCTCCACAACCCTCCCACAATGGGGAGATTCCTCCAGTAGTTGGTGTCTCTGCCCCTCCCACAATGGGGAGATTCCTCCAGTAGTTTGGTGTCTCTGCCCCTCCCACAATGGGGAGATTCCCCCAGTAGTTGGTGTCTCTGCCCCTCCCACAATGGGGAGATTCCCCCAGTAGTTGGTGTCTCTGCCCCTCCCACAATGGGGAGGATTCCCCCAGTAGTTGTGTCTCTGCCCCTCCCACAATGGGGAGATTCCCCCAGTAGTTTGGTGTCTCTGCCCCTCCCACAATGGGGAGGTTTCCCCCCAGTAGTTTGTGTCTCTGCCCCTCCCACAATGGGGAGATTCCCCCCAGTAGTGTCTCTGCCCCTCCCACAATGGGAGATTCCCCCAGTAGTTTGTGTCTCTGCCCCTCCCACAATGGGGAGGTTTCCCCCAGTAGTTGGTGTCTCTGCCCCTCCCACAATGGGGAGATTCCCCCAGTAGTTGTGTCTCTGCCCCTCCCACAATGGGGAGATTCCCCCAGTAGTTGGTGTCTCTGCCCCTCCCACAATGGGGAGTTTTCCCCCAGTAGTTGGTGTCTCTGCCCCTCCCACAATGGGGAGATTTCCCCAGTAGTTTGTGTCTCTGCCCCTCCCACAATGGGGAGATTCCCCCAGTAGTTGGTGTCTCTGCCCCTCCCACAATGGGGAGGTTTCCCCCAGTAGTTGGTGTCTCTGCCCCTCCCACAATGGGGAGATTCCCCCCAGTAGTTGTTCTCTGCCCCTCCCACAATGGGGATTTCCCCCAGTAGTTGTGTCTCTGCCCCTCCCACAATGGGGAGTTTCCCCCCAGTAGTTTGTGTCTCTGCCCCTCCCACAATGGGGAGGTTTCCCCCATAGTTTGTGTCTCTGCCCCTCCCACAATGGGGAGATTCCTCCAGTAGTTGTGTCTCTGCCCCTCCCACAATGGGGAGATTCCCCAGTAGTTTGTGTCTCTGCCCCTCCCACAATGGGGAGATTCCCCCAGTAGTTGGTGTCTCTGCCCCTCCCACAATGGGGAGGTTTCCCCCAGTAGTTGGTGTCTCTGCCCCTCCCACAATGGGGAGATTCCCCAGTAGTTGGTGTCTCTGCCCCTCCCACAATGGGGAGATTCCCTCCAGTAGTTTGTGTCTCTGCCCCTCCCACAATGGGGAGATTCCTCCAGTAGTTGGTGTCTCTGCCCCTCCCACAATGGGGAGATTCCCCCCAGTAGTTGGTGTCTCTGCCCCTCCCACAATGGGGAGGTTTCCCCCCAGTAGTTGGTGTCTCTGCCCCTCCCACAATGGGGAGTTTCCCCCAGCAGTTGGTGTCTCTGCCCCTCCCACAATGGGGAGGTTTCCCCCAGCACTTGGTGTCTCTGCCCCTCCCACAATGGGGAGATTCCCCCAAGCATTTGTGTCTCTGCCCCTCCCACAATGGGGAGATTCCCCCAGTAGTTGGTGTCTCTGCCCCTCCCACAATGGGGAGATTCCCCTCCCCAGTAGCACTTGTGTCTCTGCCCCTCCCCCCACTTGGTGTCTGCCCCTCCCACAATGGGGGAGTTTCCCCCAGCACTTGGTGTCTCTGCCCCTCCCACAATGGGGGTTTCCCCCAGCACTTGGTGTCTGCCCCTCCCACAATGGGGAGTTTCCCCCAGCACTTGGTGTCTGCCCCTCCCACAATGGGGAGAATCCCCCAGCACTTGGTGTCTGCCCCTCCCACAATGGGGAGATTCCCCCAGCACTTGGTGTCTGCCCCTCCCACAATGGGGAGTTTCCCCCAGCACTTGGTGTCTGCCCCTCCCACAATGGGGAGAATCCCCCAGCACTTGGTGTCTGCCCCTCCCACAATGGGAGTTTCCCCCAGCACTTGGTGTCTGCCCCTCCCACAATGGGGAGATTTCCCCCAGCACTTGGTGTCTGCCCCTCCCACAATGGGGAGAATCCCCCAGCACTTGGTGTCTGCCCCTCCCACAATGGGGAGATTCCCCCAGCACTTGGTGTCTGTCCCTCCCACAATGGGGAGGTTCCCCCCCACTTGGTGTCTGCCCCTCCCACAATGACGCCCCATCTGTGTCTTGCAGGGAAATATCTCCGCCATAAGAGGAGTGACTTCCAGCTTCCATATGACATCCTGTGGCAGTGGAAACACAACCAGGTAAGGTGTCGGTGGCCCCGCCTCCTGGCCTCCTATTGGTGGAATGATCTGACACGCTCTCCTCTCTGTCCAATAGTTGTACAAGAAGCCGGATGTTCCCCTCTACAAAAAGATCCGATGCAGTAAGTGAACCCCCCCCCCCCCCCAGCAGTGTTGTAGTGCCCCCCCCCCCTCTCTGGCAGTGTGACCACCCCAGCAGTGTCTGTGCCTCGTGTCCCTCCCCCCCTCTGGCTTGGTGTGTGACCCCAGCAGTGTATGTAGTGCCTTGTCCCCCCCCCGGCTTGATGTGACCCCATGTCTGCAGCTTGTCTGTAGTTCCCCCCCTCTCAGGCTTGGTGTGTGACCCCAGCAGTGTCTATAGTGCCCCCCCCCCTCTCTGGCTTGGTGTGTGACCCCAGCAGTGTCTGTGTGCCCCTCCCCCTGCTTGGTGACCCCCTCCCCCTCTCTGGCTTGGTGTGTGACCCCAGCAGTGTCTGTAGTGCCCCCCTCTCTGGCTTGGTGTGACCCCAGCAGTGTCTGTAGTGCCCCTCCCCCTCTCTGGCTTGGTGTGTGACCCCAGCAGTGTCTGTAGTGCCCCCTCTCTGGCTTGGTGTGTGACCCCAGCAGTGTCTGTAGTGCCCCCCCTCTCTGGCTTGGTGTGTGACCCCAGCAGTGTCAGTGTGTCTGTGGTGTGACCCCAGCAGTCTCTAGTACCCCTCTCTGGCGTGTGGGACCCCAGCAGTGTCTGTAGTGCCCCTCCCCCTCTCTGGCTTGGTGGTGACCCCAGCAGTGTCTGTAGTGCCCCTCTCTGGCTTGGTGTGACCCCAGCAGTGTCTGTAGTGCCCCTCTCTGGCTTGGTGGGACCCCAGCAGTGTCTGTAGTGCCCCTCCCCCTCTCTGGCTTGGTGGGACCCCAGCAGTGTCTGTAGTGCCCCTCCCCCTCTCTGGCTTGGGGTGGACCCCAGCTGTGTCTGTAGTGCCCCTCTGTAGTGCCCCTCTCTGGCGTGGTGTGGACCCCAGCAGTGTGTCTGTAGTGCCCCTCTCTGGCTTGGTGGGACCCCAGCAGTGTCTGTAGTGCCCCTCTCTGGCTTGGTGGGACCCCAGCAGTGTCTATAGTGCCCCTCTCTGTAGTGTGACCCCAGCAGTGTCCCCTCTCTGGCGTGGTGGGACCCCAGCAGTGTCTATAGTGCCCCCCCCCCTCTCTGGTGTGTGACCCCAGCAGTGTCTGTAGTGCCCCTCTCTGGCTTGGTGGGACCCCAGCAGTGTCTTAGTGTGTAGTGCCCCTCTCTGGCTCTTGCGTGGTGGGACCCCAGCAGTGTCTGTAGTGCCCCTCTCTGGCTTGGTGGGACCTCAGCAGTGTCTGTCTATAGTCTATGCCCCTCTCTGGCGTGGTGGGACCCCAGCAGTGTCTATAGTACCCCTCTCTGGCTTGGTGGGGACCCCAGAAGTGTCTGTATTGTCTGCCCCTCCCCCTCTCTGGCTTGCAGTGTGTAGTGCCCCCCCAGCAGTGTCTGTAGTGCCCCTCTCTGGCTTGGTGTGACCCCAGCAGTGTCTGTAGTGCCCCTCTCTGGCTTGGTGTGACCCCAGCAGTGTCTGTAGTGCCCCTCTCTGGCGTGGGTGTGACCCCACCAGTGTCCAGCAGTGCTGTAGTGCCCCTCTCTGGCGTGGGTGGGACCCCAGCAGTGTCTGTAGTAGTGCCCCTCTCTGGGTGGTGTGACCCCACCAGTGTCTATAGTGCTCCTCTCTGGCGTGGTGTGGACCCCAGCAGTGTCTGTAGTGCCCCTCTCTGGCGTGGTGTGACCCCAGCAGTGTCTGTATAGTGCTCCTCTCTGGCTATAGTACCCCTCTCTGGCGTGGGACCCCAGCAGTGTCTGTAGTACCCCTCTGGCGTGGTGGGACCCCAGCAGTGTCTGTAGTGCCCCTCTCTGGCGTGGTGTGACCCCACCAGTGTCTATAGTGCCCCTCTCTGGCGTGGTGTGACCCCAGCAGTGTCTGTAGTGCCCCTCTCTGGCGTGGTGTGACCCCAGCAGTGTCTGTAGTGCCCCTCTCTGGCGTGGTGTGACCCCAGCAGTGTCTGTAGTGCCCCTCTCTGGCGTGGTGTGACCCCAGCAGTGTCTGTAGTGCCCGTGTCCCTTGTCTCCATAGACGTGTATGTGGATGTGAAGCCGCTGTCTGGATACGAGGCGACCACACTGTAACTGTAAGAGTCCGGACAACGTGGAGGAGCGGGGCTGTGTGGACGACTGCCTGAATCGGTGAGCATGTGGGTGGGGCCATGGGGGCGGGGACTCGGGTGGGGTCTCGGGGGAGGGGACTCAGGGGGCCTCGGGGGACGGGACTCGGGTGGGTCCAGTACCTGGAGAGGGGGTGGGGACTCAGGGACAGGGACTCAGGGGCGGGGCCTCGGGGGCCGGGACTCAGGGGCCGGGGCCTCAGGGGGCGGGACTCAGGGGCGGGGCCTCAGGGAGGGCGGGACTCGGGTGGGGACTCAGGGGCAGGGACTCAGGTGGGGACTCAGGGGCGGGGACTCAGGTGGGGACTCGGGGGCCGGGACTCGGGCAGGGCCTTGGGGGGGGGGGGTGCCGGGACTCAGGGGTGGGGTCTCAGGGGCGGGGACTCAGTTGGGGGGACTCGGGGGTCGGGACTCAGGGGCAGGGCCTCGGGGGGGGGGGGTGCGGGACTCGGGTGGGGACTCAGGGGTGGGGACTCAGGGGCGGGGACTCAGTTGGGGACTCTGGCGGGGACTCAGGGACGGAGACTCGGGTGGGGACTCAGGCGGGGACTCGGGCGGGGCCTCGGGGGCGGAGCCCAGGATGATGGTTCGGCTTCCATTGCAGGATGATATTTGCGGAGTGTTCCCCGAATACGTGTCCTTGTGGGGATCAGTGCGACAACCAGCGGATCCAGAGACACGAGTGGGTCCAGTGCCTGGAGAGGGGGCGGGGACTTGGGTGGGGACTCGGGGGAGGGGACTCGGGTGGGGACTCGGGCGGGGCCTCGGGGGCGGAGCCCAGGATGATGGTTCGGCTTCCATTGCAGGATGATATTTGCGGAGTGTTCCCCGAATACGTGTCCTTGTGGGGATCAGTGCGACAACCAGCGGATCCAGAGACACGAGTGGGTCCAGTGCCTGGAGAGGGGGCGGGGACTCGGGTCGGGGGGACTCGGGGGGAGGGGACTCGGGCGGGGACTCGGGCGGGGCCTCTGGGGGGCGGAGCCCAGGATGACGGTTCGGCTTCCATTGCAGGATGATATTTGCGGAGTGTTCCCCGAATACGTGTCCTTGTGGGGATCAGTGCGACAACCAGCGGATCCAGAGACACGAGTGGGTCCAGTGCCTGGAGAGGTTCCGGGCCGAGGGGAAGGGGTGGGGCATCCGCACCAAGGAGCCACTCAAGGCCTCGCAATTCATCATCGAATATCTGGGGGAAGTGGTGAGCGAGCAAGAGTTCAGGTAACGCCCATCTCATGGAAAGCTGTGATTGGCTGCCTGAATGAGGCCACAGAGCACCTCCCCTTCTTGTTATAGAGAGTACCAGGGGAGGGGTCTGTGGTTGGTGGTTGAGTAGATCTGTGGTACGGGGTGTCTGTGGGGCGGTAGGTGTGTCTGTGGGGGGGGTGTACGGGGTGTCTGTGGGGGGGGGTGTACGGGGTGTCTGTGGGGGGGGGGGGGGTGTACGGGTGTCTGTGGGGTGGGTGTACGGGGTGTCTGTGGGGGGGTGTACGGGGTGTACTGTGTCTGTGGGGGGTGTACGGGGTGCCTGTGGGGCGGGTGTACGGGGTGTCTGGGGGGGGTGTACGGGGTGTCTGTGGGGCGGGTGTACGGGGTGTCTGGGGCGGGTGTACGGGGTGTCTGTGGGGCGGGTGTACGGGGTGTCTGGGGCGGGTGTACGTATGGGGGTGTCTGTGGGGGGGGTGTACGGGGTGTCTGGGGGGGGTGTACTGTGGGGCGGGTGTACGGGGTGTCTGTGGGGGGGGTGTGTACGGTGGTGTACGGGGTGGGGCGGGTGTACTGTGGGGGGGGTGTATGGGTGTCTGTGGGGGGGGTGTACGGTGTGTGGTGTGTGGGGCGGGTGTACGGGGTGTCTGTGGGGGGGGTGTACGGGGTGTGTGTGGGGGGGGTGTACGGGGTGTCTGTGGGGCGGGTGTACGGGGTGTATGGGGGGGTGTATGGGGTGTCTGTGGGGGGGGTACGGGGTGTCTGTGGGGCGGGTGTACGGGGTGTCTGTGGGGCGGGCGGGGGTACGGGGTGTCTGTGGGGGGGGTGTACGGGGTGTCTGTGGGGGGGGGGTGGGTGTAACGGGGTGTCTGTGGGGGGGGGTGTACGGGGTGTCTGTGGGGGGGTGTACGGGGTGTCTGGGGGGGGTGTACGGGGTGTCTGTGGGGCGGGTGTATGGGGTGTCTGTGTGTACGGGGGCGGGTGTACGGGGTGTCTGGGGGGGGTGTACGGGGTGTCTGTGGGGCGGGTGTATGGGGTGTCTGTGGGGCGGGTGTACGGGGTGTCTGGGGGGGGTGCCTGTGGGGCGGGTGTACGGGGTGTCTGGGGGGGGGGGTGTATGGGGTGTCTGGGGGGGTGTACGGGGTGTCTGGGGGGCTCCGGAATGACAGGATTTGTGTCTCAGGAATCGGATGATAGAGCAATATCACAACCACAACGACCATTACTGCCTCAGCCTGGACTCCGGGATGGTGATTGACAGTTATCGCCTCGGCAACGAAGCCCGCTTCATCAACCACAGCTGTGACCCCAACTGTGAGATGCAGAAATGGTGAGACCCCCCCCCCCCCCCGTACTGTGCACAGCACCCCCCCCATACTGTGGGGTCGGGTGCCCACAGCGCCCCCCCTTTCCAGATCCACCCCCTCCCACTTCCGGATCTACCCCCCCCACACTGCCCCACGGCGCCCCACACTGCCACATGTACCCCCCCCCCCCCCCCCCCCTCCACTGTCCATGGCCCCCCCCCCCCCCCGCATTGTCCACAGCACCCCCCCCCCCCCCTAGGGGTCGGGGTGTCCCCCCCCCCCCCCCCCCCCCCCCCCCCCCCCCCCCGTATATTACGGTCCGCGGCACCCCCTACGGTCGGGTCTCCCCCCCCCCCCCCCCCCCCCCCCGTATGTTACCCGCGGCGCCCCCTACGGTTGGGTCTCCCCCCCCCCCCCCCCGTATATTACCCGCGGCGCCTCCCCCCTACGGGGTCTCGGGGTCTCACCCCCCCGTATATTACCCGCGGCCGCCCCCTACGGTCGGGTCTCACCCCCCCGTATATTACCCGCGGCGCCCCCTACGGTCGGGTCTCCCCCCCCCCCCGTATATTACCCGCGGCGCCCCCCTACGGTCGGGTCTCCCCCCCCCCCCCCCGTATATTACCCGCGGCGCCCCCTACGGTCGGGTCTCACCCCCCCGTATATATACCGACGCGGCGCCCCGCGGCTCCCCCCCCCTACGGTCGGGTCCCCACCCCCCCCCCCATATATTACCCGTGGCGCCCCCTACGGTCGGGTCCCCCCCCCCGTATATTACCCGCGGCGCCCCCTATGGTCGGGTCTCCCCCCCCCCTCCGGGTATATTGCCCGCAGCGCCCCCTATGGTCGGGTCTCACCCCCCCCCCCCCCCCCCCCCCCCCCCCCCCCCCGTACGTTGTGTCCCCCCCCCCCCCCCCCCCCCCCCGTATATTACCCGCGGCGCCCCCTACGGTCGGGTCTCCCCCCCCCCGTATATTACCCGCGGCGCCCCCTATGGTCAGGTCTCACCCCCCCCCCGTATATTACCCGCGGCGCCCCATACGGTCGGGTCTCCCCCCCCCGTATATTACCCCGGCGCCCCCTAGGGTCGGGTCTCCCCCCCCCCCCCCCCCCGTATATTACCCGCGGCGCCCCATACGGTCGGGTCTCCCCCCCCCCCCCCGTAATTCGTATATTACCCGCGGCGCCCCATACGGTCGGGTCTCCCCCCCCCCCCGTATATTACCCGCGGCGCCCCATACGGTCGGGTCTCCCCCCCCCGTATATTACCCGCGGCGCCCCCTCACGTGTGGTCTCTCTCAGGTCGGTGAATGGAGTGTCCCCCCCGCATCGGGCTCTACCCCTTGAAGGACATGCCGGCCGGAACTGAACTCACCTACGACTACAACTTCCACGCCTTCAACCCCTAGCAGCAGGTGAGTGACACCCCTCTGTACCTCCAGGTAGGTGGTAGGTCTGTACCCCCAGGTAGGTGGTAGGTCTGTACCTCCCAGGTAGGTGGTAGGTCTGTACCTCCAGGTAGGTGGTAGGTCTGTACCTCCAGGTAGGTGGTAGGTCTGTACCTCCAGGTAGGTCGGGTAGGTCTGTACCTCCAGGTAGGTGGTAGGTCTGTACCTCCAGGTAGGTGGGTAGGTCTGTACCTCCAGGTAGGTGGTACCCGTCTGTACCTCCAGGTAGGTGGTAGGTCTGTACCTCCAGGTAGGTGGTAGGTCTGTACCTCCAGGTAGGTGGTAGGTCTGTACCTCCAGGTGGGTGGTAGGTCTGTACCTCCAGGTAAGTGGGTAGGTCTGTGCCCTCCAGGTAGGTGGGTAGGTCTGTACCTCCAGGTAGGTGGTAGGTCTGTACCTCCAGGTAGGTGGTAGGTCTGTACCTCCAGGTAGGTGGTAGGTCTGTACCTCCAGGTAGGTGGTAGGTCTGTACCTCCAGGTAGGTGGTAGGTCTGTACCTCCAGGTAGGTGTAGTCTGTAGGTAGGTCTGTACCTCCAGGTGGGTGGTAGGTCTGTACCCTCCAGGTAAGTGGTAGGTCTGTGCCTCCAGGTAGGTGGTAGGTCTGTACCCTCCAGGTAGGTGGTAGGTCTGTACCTCCAGGTAGGTGGTAGGTCTGTACCTCCAGGTAGGTGGTAGGTCTGTCCCTCCAGGTAGGTGGTAGGTCTGTACCTCCAGGTGGGTGGTAGGTCTGTACCTCCAGGTAGGTGGTAGGTCTGTGCCTCCAGGTAGTGGTAGGTCTGTACCTTCCAGGTAGGTGGTAGGTCTGTTCTTCCAGGTAGGTGGTAGGTCTGTTACCTCCAGGTAGGTGGTAGGTCTGTGCCTCCAGGTAGATGGTAGGTCTGTACCTCCAGGTAGGGGTGGCTGTGTACCTCCAGGTAGGTGGTAGGTCTGTACCTCCAGGTAGGTGGTAGGTCTGTACCTCCAGGTAGGGGTGGGTCTGTACCTCCAGGTAGGTGGTAGGTCTGTACCTCCAGGTAGGTGGTGGCTGTGTACCTCCAGGTAGGTGGTGGCTGTGTACCTCCAGGTAGGGGGTGGCTGTGTACCTCCAGGTAGGTGGTAGGTCTGTACCTCCAGGTAGGTGGTGGCTGTCTGTACCTCCAGGTAGGTGGTAGGTGTGTACCTCCAGGTAGGTGGTAGGTCTGTGCCTCCAGGTAGGTGGTAGGTGTACCTCCAGGTAGGTGGTAGGTGTGTACCTCCAGGTAGGTGGTAGGTCTGTGCCTCCAGGTAGGTGGTAGGTCTGTACCTCCAGGTAGGTGTCCTGTACCTCCAGGTAGGTGGTAGGTCTGTGCCTCCAGGTAGGTGGTAGGTGTCTGTACTCCAGGTAAGTGGTAGGTCTGTACCTCCAGGTAGGTGGTAGGTCTGTACCTCCAGGTAAGTGGTAGGTGTGTACCTCCAGGTAGGTCTGTCCCTCCAGGTAGGTGGTAGGTCTGTACCTCCAGGTAGGTGGTAGGTCTGTGCCTCCAGGTAGGTGGTAGGTCTGTGCCTCCAGGTAGGTGGTAGGTCTGTCCCTCCAGGTAGGTGGTAGGTGTGTACCTCCAGGTAGGTCTGTCCCTCCAGGTAGGTGGTAGGTCTGTACCTCCAGGTAGGTGGTAGGTCTGTCCCTCCAGGTAGGTGGTAGGTCTGTACCTCCAGGTAGGTGGTAGGCTGTGTACCTCCAGGTAGGTGGTAGGTGTGTACCTCCAGGTAGGTGGTAGGTCTGTGCCTCCAGGTAGGTGTGTACCTCCAGGTAGGTGGTAGGTCTGTGCCTCCAGGTAGGTGGTAGGTCTGTACCTCCAGGTAGGTGGTAGGTCTGTACCTCCAGGTAGGTGTGTACCTCCAGGTAGGTGGTGGTAGGTCTGTGCCTCCAGGTAGGTGGTAGGTCTGTACCTCCAGGTAGGTGGTAGGTCTGTCCCTCCAGGTAGGTGGTAGGTGTGTACCTGGCAGCCATGTTTGGTCTCCTAGGAAACCTCTCTTCCTGTGGTTTGCAGCAACTGTGTAGGTGCGGGTTTGATCGATGTCGGGGGATCATCGGGGGGAAGAGTCAGAGAATGAACGGACTGACAAACAAAGGCGGCCATCAGATTCCGTCTCACCGCAGGCTGGGGCGCTCCAAGGAGAAGAGGAAGTCCAAGCACCGGCAGCTGAAGAGAAGGGTGAGTCCGCTGGAGCACAATGCAGTTCAGGGGTGCACCGTGTACAGGGGGGGGTGCCAGTGATTGCAGCAAATATTTATTCTGTTTGTAGCGGGGTCACCACAGCGAGGATCGCAGCGACAGTGTCGGAGCATCCAACAGACTCGGCTCCCAGCTCCACATGAAACCCATGTCCAAACAGGGAGAGGTAAGAACCCCCCACATCCCAGCTCTTGCACCCGTTCCACACCCTCTGTACTTCATGGTGTCCTTGTGCATCATAATCTGTTCCCTTCCCCTCTGCCTGTCTCTGTGCCCTTCCCATCTGCCTGTCTCTGTAGCCTTCCCATCTGCCTGTCTCTGTGCCCTTCCCATCTGCCTGTCTCTGTAGCCTTCCCCTCTGCCTGTCTCTGTACCCTTCCCTCTGCCTGTCTCTGTACCCTTCCCCTCTGCCTGTCTCTGTACCCTTCCCCTCTGGCCTGTCTCTGTAGCCTTCCCCTCTGCCTGTCTTTGTACCCTTCCCCTCTGCCTGTCTCTGTACCCTTCCCCTCTGCCTGTCTTTGTACCCTTCCCCCTCTGCCTGTCTCTGTACCCTTCCCCTCTGCCTGTCTCTGTACCCTTCCCCCTCTGCCTGTCTTTGTACCCTTCCCCTCTGCCTGTCTCTGTACCCTTCCCCTCTGCCTGCCTGTCTTTGTACCCTTCCCCTCTGCCTGTCTTTGTACCTTCCCTCTCCCTGTCTCTGTACCCTTCCCATCTGCCTGTCTCTGTACCCTTTCCCTCTCCCTGTCTCTGTACCCTTCCCCTCTGCCTGTCTCTGTATCTTTTCCCTCTGCCCTGTCTACTGTACCCTTCCCATCTGGCCTGTCTCTGTACCTTTCCCCTCTGCCTGTCTCTGTACCCCTTCCCCTCTCCCTGTCTCTGTACCCTTTCCCCTCTGCCTGTTTCTGTACCCTTCCCATCTGCCTGTCTCTGTACCCCTCTCCCTGTCTCTGTACCCCTCTCCCTGTCTCTGTACCCTTCCCCCCTCTGCCTGTCTCTGTACCCCCTTCCCATCTGCCTGTCTCTGTACCCTTCCCCTCTGGCTTGTCTCTGTACCCTTCCCCTCTGCCTGTCTCTGTGCCCTTCCCCTCTGCCTGTCTCTGTACTCTTCCCCTCTGCCTGTCTCTGTACTCTTCCCATCTGCCTGTCTCTGTACCCTTCCCCTCTGCCTGTCTCTGTACTCTTCCCATCTGCCTGTCTCTGTACCCTTCCCCTCTGCCTGTCTCTGTACCCTTCCCCATCTGGGCCTGTCTCTGTACCCTTCCCCTCTGCCTGTCTCTGTACCCTTCCCATCTGGCCTGTCTCTGTACCCTTCCCCTCTTGCCTGTCTCTGTACTCTTTCCCTCTGCCTGTCTCTGTACTCTTTCCCTCTGCCTGTCTCTGTACCCTTCCCTCTGCCTGTCTCTGTACCCTTCCCATCTGGCCTGTCTCTGTACCCTTCCTCTCTTCCTTTTCTGTACCCTTCCCCTCTGCCTCTCTCTGTACCCTTCCCCTCTGCCTGTCTCTGTACCCTTCCCCTCTGCCTGTCTCTGTGCCCTTCCCCATCTGCCTGTCTCTGTACCCTTCCCCTCTGGCCTGTCTCTGTAGCCTTCCCCTCTGCCTGTCTTTGTACCCTTCCCCTCTGCCTGTCTCTGTACTTTTCCCCTCTTCCTGTCTCTGTACCCTTCCCATCTGCCTGTCTTTGTACCCTTCCCCTCTGCCTGTCTCTGTATCCTTCCCTCTCCCCTGTCTCTGTGCCCTTCCCATCTGCCTGTCTCTGTACCCTTCCCCTCTGCCTGTCTCTGTACCCTCTCCCTGTCTCTGTACCCTTCCCCTCTGCCTGTCTCTGTATCTTTTCCCTCTGCCTGTCTCTATTACCCTTCCAGATCTGGCCTGTCTCTGTACCTTTCCCCTCTGCCTGTCTCTGTACCCTTCCCCTTCTGCCTGTCTCTGTACCCTTACCCGTCTCCCTGTCTCTGTACCCTTCCCTCTGCCTGTCTCTGTACCCTTCCCATCTGCCTGTCTCTGTACCCTTCCCCTCTCCCTGTCTCTGTACCCTTCCCCTCTCCCTGTCTCTGTACCCTTCCCCTCTGCCTGTCTCTGTACCCTTCCCCATCTGCCTGTCTCTGTACCCTTCCCTCTGCCTGTCTCTTTACTTTTCCCATCTGCCTGTCTCTGTACCCTTCCCATCTGGCCTGTCTCTGTACCCTTCCCTCTGCCTGTCTCTGTACCCTTCCCCTCTGCCCTGTCTCTGTACCCTTCTCCCCTCTGTCTGTCTCTGTAACCCTTCCGATTTTGGCCTGTCTCTGTACTCTTCCCCTCTGCCTGTCTCTGTACTCTTCCCATCTGCCTGTCTCTGTAACCTTCCCTCTGCCTGTCTCTGTACTCTTCCCATCTGCCTGTCTCTGTACTCTTCCCATCTGCCTGTCTCTGTACCCTTCCCCTCTGCCTGTCTCTGTACCCTTCCCATCTGGCCTGTCTCTGTACCCTTCCCCTCTGCCTGTCTCTGTACCCTTCCCATCTGGCCTGTCTCTGTACCCTTCCCCTCTTTCCTGTCTCTGTACCCTTCCCCTCTCTGCCTGTCTCTGTACCCTTCCATCTGGCCTGTCTCTGTACCCTTCCCCTTTCCTGTCTCTGTACTCTTTCCCTCTGCCTGTCTCTGTACCCTTCCCCTCTGCCTGTCTCATGGTACCCTTCCCCTCTGCCTGTCTCTATACCCATCCTTCCCCTCTGTCTGTCTCTGTACCCTTCCGATCTGGCCTGTCTCTGTACTCTTCCTCATGCCTGTCTCTGTAACTCTCTTCCGATCTGCCTGTCTCTGTACCCTTCCCCTCTGCCTGTCTCTGTACCCTTCCCACTCTGCCTGTCTCTGTACCCTTCCCCTCTGCCTGTCTCTGTACCCTTCCCCTCTGCCTGTCTCTGTACCCTTTCCCTCTGCCTGTCTCTGTACCCTTCCCCCGATCTGCCTGTCTCTGTACCTTCCCCTCTGCCTGTCTCTGTACCCTTCCCCTCTGCCTGTCTCTGTACCCTTCCCCTCTGCCTGTCTCTGTACCCTTCCCCTCTGCCTGTCTCTGTACCCTTCCCCTCTGCCTGTCTCTGTACCCTTCCCTCTGCCTGTCTCTGTACCCTTCCCCTCTGCCTGTCTCTGTACCCTTCCCATTAGAGATGACCCCGCAGGGTTCTGTGTTCTGCAGGAATTTTGTGTTGAAGCACAGAGTGTTCTTGATCCGGAACTGGGAGAAGACCCTCCCGGCGGCACGAGGATGGTGAAGGATGAGCTGAGTGCTGCGTCGCTGTATAACACCGCTGGAACGGGGTGTGCAGAGACGATGGAAACATCAAAGCTGGTGAGGCCTCTGGAGAGGAGTCTTATGGTGGCCATGTTCCCCCGGAGCTCCTCTCCTCTCTCCCATCCGCCATGTTCCCCCGGAGCTCCTCTCATCTCTCCCGTCCGCCATGTGCCCCCGGAGCTCCTCTCATCTCTCCCGTCCGCCATGTTCCCCCGGAGCTCCTCTCATCTCTCCCGTCCGCCATGTGCCCCCGGAGCTCCTCTCATCTCTCTCCCGTCCGCCATGTTCCCCCGGAGCTCCTCCTCCTCTCTCCCATCCGCCATGTTCCCCCGGAGCTCCTCTCGTCTCTCCCATCCGCCATGTTCCCCCGGAGCTCCTCTCCTCTCTCCCATCCGCCATGTTCCCCCGGAGCTCCTCTCATCTCTCCCGTCCGCCATGTCCCCCCGGAGCTCCTCTCATCTCTCCCGTCCGCCATGTTCCCCCGGAGCTCCTCTCATCTCTCCCGTCCGCCATGTTCCCCCGGAGCTCCTCTCATCTCTCCCGTCCGCCATGTTCCCCCGGAGCTCCTCTCCTCTCTTCCCATCCGCCATGTTCCCCGGAGCTCCTCCCGTCTCATCCCGTCCGCCATGTTCCCCCGGAGCTCCCTCATCTCTCCCGTCTGCCATTTTCCCCCGGAGCTCCTCCCATCTCTCCCGTCCCCCATGTGCCCCCGGAGCTCCTCTCATCTCTCATCCTCCCCCATGTTCCCCCGGAGCTCCTCTCATCTCTCTCCTCCCCCATGTTCCCCCGGAGCTCCTCTCATCTCTCTCCTCCCCCATGTTCCCCTGGAGCTCCTCTCATCTCTCCCGTCCGCCATGTTCCCCCGGAGCTCCTCCTCTCATCTCTCCCGTCCGCCATGTTCCCCCGGAGCTCCTCTCATCTCTCCCGTCCGCCATGTGCCCCCGGAGCTCCTCTCATCTCTCCCCTCCGCCATGTGCCCCGGGAGCTCCTCTCATCTCTCCCCTCCGCCATGTGCCCCCGGAGCTCCTCTCATCTCTCCCCTCCGCCATGTTGCCCCCCCGGAGCTCCTCTCATCTCTCCCGTCCGCCATGTTCCCCCGGAGCTCCTCTCATCTCTCCCATCCGCCATGTGCCCCCGGAGCTCCTCTCATCTCTCCCGTCCGCCATGTTCCCCCAGAGCTCCTCTCATCTCTACCGTCCGCCATGTTCCCCCGGAGCTCCTCTCTCCCGTCCGCCATGTTCCCCCCGGAGCTCCTCTCTCCCGTCCGCCATGTTCCCCCCGGAGCTCCTCTCATCTCTCCCGTCCGCCATGTTCCCCCGGAGCCTCCCTCTCATCTCTCCCGTCCGCCATGTGCCCCCGGAGCTCCTCTCATCTCTCCCGTCCGCCATGTTCCCCCGGAGCTCCTCTCATCTCTCCCGTCCGCCATGTTCCCCCGGAGCTCCTCTCATCTCTCCCCTCCGCCATGTTTCCCCGGAGCTCCTCTCATCTCTCCCCTCCGCCATGTGCCCCCGGAGCTCCTCTCATCTCTCCCCTCCGCCATGTGCCCCCGGAGCTCCTCTCATCTCTCCCCTCCGCCATGTGCCCCCGGAGCTCCTCTCATCTCTCCCGTCCGCCACGTTCCCCCGGAGCTCCTCTCATCTCTCCCGTCCGCCACGTGCCCCCGGAGCTCCTCTCATCTCTCCCGTCCGCCACGTTTCCCCCGGAGCTCCTCTCATCTCTACCGTCCGCCATGTTCCCCCGGAGCTCCTCTCATCTCTCCCGTCCGCCATGTTCCCCCCGGAGCTCCTCTCATCTCTCCCGTCCGCCATGTGCCCCCGGAGCTCCTCTCATCTCTCCCGTCCGCCATGTTCCCCCGGAGCTCCTCTCATCTCTCCCGTCCGCCATGTTCCCCCGGAGCTCCTCTCATCTCTCCCGTCCGCCATGTTCTCCCGGAGCTCCTCTCATCTCTCCCGTCCGCCATGTTCCCCCGGAGCTCCTCTCATCTCTCCCGTCCGCCATGTTCCCCCGGAGCTCCTCTCATCTCTACCGTCCGCCATGTTCCCCCGGAGCTCCTCTCTCCCGTCCGCCATGTTCCCCCCCCGGAGCTCCTCTCATCTCCCCGTCTGCCATGTTCCCCTGGAGTGCCTCTCATCTCTCCCGTCCGCCATGTTCCCCCGGAGCTCCTCTCATCTCTCCCGTCCGCCATGTTCCCCCGGAGCTCCTCTCATCTCTCCCGTCCGCCATGTTCCCCCGGAGCTCCTCTCATCTCTACCGTCCGCCATGTTCCCCGGAGCTCCTCTCTCCCGTCCGCCATGTTCCCCCGGAGCTCCTCTCATCTCTCCCGTCCGCCATGTTCCCCCGGAGCTCCTCTCATCTCTCCCGTCCGCCATGTTCCCCCGGAGCTCCTCTCATGTCTCCCGTCGGCCATGTTTTCCAGATGTCTTCATGACCCAGTTCGCTGCTCTGCAGACCTCCCTCTCGGTACGCACCCGCCGATTGGCTGCCGCCGAGGAGAACGTTGAGGTGGCACGGGCAGCACGCCTGGCACAGATCTTCAAGGAGATCTGCGATGGAATCGTCTGCTACAAAGGTGACTTCCTGACAGATGGAACCCCACCAAACCGGTCCAGAACCCGCCCCCAGCCTGTGATTTGCTAGGTCCAGAAAACCCACCCCAAGCCTGTGATTTCCTAGCTCCAGAACCCACCCCCCAGCCTGTGATTTGCTAGGTCCAGAACCCACCCCCAAGCCTGTGATTTGCTAGGTCCAGAACCCACCCCCAGCCTGTGATTTGCTAGGTCCAGAACCCACCCCAAGCCTGTGATTTCCTAGCTCCAGAACCCACCCCAAGCCTGTGATTTCCCTAGCTCCAGAACCCACTCCCAGCCTGTGATTTCCTAGCTCCAGAACCTCCTCCCCCCCAGCCTGTGATTTCCTAGCTCCAGAACCCCCACCCCAAGCCTGTGATTTCCTAGCTCCAGAACCCACCCCCAGCCTGTGATTTGCTAGGTCCAGAACCCACTCCCAGCCTGTGATTTCCTAGCTCCAGAACCCACCCCAAGCCTGTGATTTGCTAGGTCCAGAACCCACCCCAAGCCTCTGATTTGCTAGGTCCAGAACCCACCCCCAGCCTGTGATTTGCTAGGTCCAGAACCCACCCCCAGCCTGTGATTTGATAGGTCCCAGAACCCACCCCAGCCTGTGATTTGATAGGTCCAGAACCCATCCCCCAGCCTGTGATTTGATAGTCCAGAACCCACCCCCCAGCCTGATGATTTCCTAGCTCCAGAACCCACTCCCAGCCTGTGATTTCCTTTGCTCCAGAACCCACCTCCCAGCCTGTGATTTCCTAGCTCCAGAACCCACTCCCAGCCTGTGATTTATTGCTAGGTCCAGAACCCACCCCCAGCCTGTGATTTGCTAGGTCCAGAACCCTCCCCCAGCCTGTGATTTGCTAGGTCCAGAACCCTCCCCCAGCCTGTGATTTGCTAGGTCCAGAATCCACCCCAAGCCTGTGATTTCCTAGCTCCAGAACCCACCCCCAAGCCTGTGATTTCCTAGCTCCAGAACCCACTCCCAAGCCTGTGATTTCCTAGCTCCAGAACCCACCCCCAGCCTGTGATTTGCTAGGTCCAGAACCCCCCCCAGCCTGTGATTTGCTAGGTCCAGAACCCACTGTCCCCAGCCTGTGATTTCCTAGCTCCAGAACCCACCCCAAGCCTGTGATTTGCTAGGGTCCAGAACCCACCCCAAGCCTCTGATTTGCTAGGTCCAGAACCCACCCCCAGCCTGTGATTTGCTAGGTCCAGAACCCACCCCCAGCCTGTGATTTGATAGGTCCTAGAAACCCACCCCCAGCCTGTGATTTGATAGGTCCAGAACCCACCCCCAGCCTGTGATTTGATAGGTCCAGAACCCACCCCCAGCCTGTGATTTGTTGGTTCCAGAACCCACCCCCAGCCTGTGATTTGATAGGTCCAGAACCACCCCCAGCCTGTGATTTGATAGGTCCAGAACCCACCTCCCCAGCCTGTGATTTGATAGGTCCAGAACCCACCCCCAGCCTGTGATTTGATAGGTCCAGAACCCACCCCCAGCCTGTGATTTGATAGGTCCAGAACCCACCCCCAGCCTGTGATTTGATAGGTCCAGAACCCATCCCCAGCCTGTGATATGATAGGTCCAGAACCCACCCCCAGCCTGTGATTTGATAGGTCCAGAACCCATCCCCAGCCTGTGATTTGATAGGTCCAGAACCCACCCCCAGCCTATGATTTCCTAGCTCCAGAACCCACCCCAGCCTGTGATTTCCTAGCTCCAGAACCCACTCCCAGCCTGTGATTTCCTAGCTCCAGAACCCACTCCCAGCCTTTGATTTCCTAGCTCCAGAACCCACCCCAAGCCTGTGATTTGCTAGGTCCAGAACCCACCCCAAGCCTGTGATTTGCTAGGTCCAGAACCCACCCCCAGCCTGTGATTTGCTAGGTCCAGAACCCACCCCAGCCTGTGATTTGATAGGTCCAGAACCCACCCCCAGCCTGTGATTTGCTAGGTCCAGAACCCACCCCCAGCCTGTGATTTGATAGGTTCCAGAACCCCACCCCCAGCCTGTGATTTGATAGGTCCAGAACCCACCGCCCCAGCCTGTGATTTGATAGGTCCAGAACCCACCCCCAGCCTGTGATTTGCTAGGTCCAGAACCCACCCCCAGCCTGTGATTTGATAGGTCCAGAAACCCACACCCCAGCCTGTGATTTGCTAGGTCCAGAACCCACCCCCAGCCTGTGATTTGATAGGTCCAGAACCCCCCCAGCCTGTGATTTGATAGGTCCAGAACCCCACCCCCAGCCTGTGATTTGATAGGTCCAGAACCCACCCCCAGCCTGTGATTTGCGTAGCTCCAGAACCCACCCCAGCCTGTGATTTCCCTAGTCCAGAACCCACCCCCAGCCTGTGATTTCCTAGCTCCAGAACCCACTCCCAGCCTGTGATTTCCTAGCTCCAGAACCCACCTCCCAGCCTGTGATTTCCTAGCTCCAGAACCCACCCCCAGCCTGTGATTTGCTAGGTCCAGAACCCACCCCCAGCCTGTGATTTGATAGGTCCAGAACCCACCCCCAGCCTGTGATTTGATAGGTCCAGAACCCACCCCCAGCCTGTGATTTGATAGGTCCAGATAGGTCCAGAACCCATCCCCAGCCTGTGATTTGATAGGTCCAGAACCCACCCCCAGCCTATGATTTCCTAGCAATCCAGAACCCACCCAGCCCCCAGAACCCACGCCCAGCCTGTGATTTCCTAGCCTCCCAGAACCCACCCCAGCCTGTGATTTCCTAGCTCCAGAACCCACCCCAGCCTGTGATTTGCTAGGTCCAGTAACCCACCCCCAGCCTGTGATTTGATAGGTCCAGAACCCACCCCCAGCCTGTGATTTGATAGGTCCAGAACCCACACCCCCAGCCTGTGATTTTGATAGGTCCAGAACCCCCCAGCCTGTGATTTGAATAGCCTGTGTCCAGAACCCACCCCCCCCATGTGCCTCCAGAACCCACCTGATTTGATAGGTCCAGAACCCACCCCAGCCTGTGATGATTATAGTCCCAGAACCCACCCCCCCAGCCTGTGATTTGATAGGTCCAGAACCCACCCCCAGCCACTGTGATTTGATATTTGATAGGTCCTGTAACCCACCCCCAGCCTGTGATTGATAGGTCCAGAACCCATCCCCAGCCTGTGATTGATAGGTCCAGAACCCACCCCCCAGCCTGTGATTCCTAGGTCCAGAACCCCCCCAACCTGTGATTTGATAGGTCCAGAACCCACTCCCCCCTGTGATTTCCTAGCTCCAGAACCCACTCCCAGCCTGTGATTTCCTACTCCCAGAACCCACCCCAAGCCTGTGATTTCCTAGCTCCAGAACCCACCCCAAGCCTGTGATTTTTCTAGGACTAGCTCCAGAACCCACCCCAAAGCCTGTGATATTGCTAGGTCCAGAACCCACCCACCATGTACATACTGTGATTTGCTAGGTCCAGACCCCACCCCCAGCCTGTGATTTGATAGGTCCAGAACCCACCCCCAGCCTGTGATTTGATAGGTCCAGAACCCCACCCCCAGCCTGTGATTGTTGGTTCTCAGAACTCCCCACCCCCAGCCTGTGATTTGATAGGTCCAGAACCCCTCCCCAGCCTGTGATTTGATAGGTCCAGAAAACCCACCCCCAGCCTGTGATTTGCTAGGTCCAGAACCCACCCCCAGCCTGTGATTTGCTAGGTCCAGAACCCACCCCCAGCCTGTGATTTTGAGGGGTCCAGAACCCATCCCCAGCCTGTGATTTGATAGGTCCTGAATTTGATAACCCACCCCCAGCTGGTGATTTGATAGGTCCAGAACCCTCCCCAGCCTGTGATTTGGGGTCCAGAACCCACCCCAGCCTATGATTTCCTAGCTCCAGAACCACTCCCAGCCTGTGATTTCCTAGCTCCAGAACCCACTCCCAGCCTGTGATTTCCTAGCTCCAGAACCCACTCCCAGCCTGTGATTTCCTAGCTCCAGAACCCACTCCCAGCCTTTGATTTCCTAGCTCCAGAACCCACCCCAAGCCTGTGATTTGCTAGGTCCAGAACCCACCCCAAGCCTGTGATTTGCTAGGTCCAGAACCCACCCCCAGCCTGTGATTTGCTAGGTCCAGAACCCACCCCCAGCCTGTGATTTGCTAGGTCCAGAACCCACCCCCAGCCTGTGATTTGATAGGTCCAGAAACCCACCCCCAGCCTGTGATTTGATAGGTCCAGAACCCACCCCCAGTCTCTTTACATAGGTCCAGAACCCACCCCCAGCCTGTGATTTGTAGGTCCAGAACCCACCCCCAGCCTGTGATTTGATAGGTCCAGAACCCACCTCCACTGTGATTTGATAGGTCCAGAACCCTCCCCCCAGTCTGTGATTTGATAGGTCCAGAACCCACCCCCAGCCTGTGATTTGATAGGTCTATTAGATGTATATATGTTGTATGTAACAGATTTCCTTCCTTTCAGATTCCATGAACAGGACCCTGGCAGCCCCCCTGCTCAGTCTTCCACCCAAGAAAAAGTAAGACCCCGCCCCCCATCCCCATTACTGCATCCCCTCCTCCATTCCACTACTACAGCCCGCCCACCACTAACTCTGCTAAAGGTCCATGGTGGCCTGTCTGTCCTGTCTGTGTAGGCATACTGGGGTTGTAGGGGTCTCTCTGTACATACTGGGGTTGTAGGGGTCTCTCTGTACATACTGGGGTTGTAGGGGTCTCTCTGTACATACTGGGGTTGTAGGGGTCTCTCTGTACATACTGGGGTTGTAGGGGTCTCTCTGTACATCTGGGGTTGTAGGGGTCTCTCTGTACATACTGGGGTTGTAGGGGTCTCTCTGTACATACTGGGGTTGTAGGGGTCTCTCTGTACATACTGGGGTTGTAGGGGTCTCTCTGTACATACTGTAGGGGCATCTCTTGTACATTCTGGGTTGTAGGGGATCTCTGTACATTCTGGGGTTGTAGGGTCTCTGTACATTCTGGGGTTGTATTCTGGGGGGTCTCTCTGTACATACTGGGGTTGTAGGGCTCTCTGTACATCTCTGTCTCTCTGTACATTCTGGGTTGTAGGGTCTCTGTACATACTGGGGTTGTAGGGGTCTGTACATACTGGGGTTGTAGGGTCTCTCTGTACATACTGGGTTTGTATGGGGATCTCTGTACACTGGGGTTGTAGGGATCTCTGTACATACTGGGGTTGTATGGGGCTCTCTGTACATACTGGGGTTGTAGGGGTCTCTGTACATACTGGGGTTGTAGGGGGGCTCTCTGTACATACTGGGGTTGTAGGGGTCTCTCTGTACATACTGGGGTTGTATGGGGGTCTCTCTCTGTACATACTGGGGTTGTAGGGGGCTCTACTGGTTGTAGGGGTCCTCTCTGTACATACTGGGGTTGTACATACTGTTCTGGGTTCTCTCTGTACATACTGGGGTTGTAGGGGTCTCTGTACATACTGGGGTTGTAGGGGTCTCTTGTACATACTGGGTATGGGTCTCTCTGGGGGTCTCTCTGTACATACTGGGGTTGTAGGGGTCTCTCTGTACATACTGGGGTTGTAGGGGTCTCTGTACATACTGGGGTTGTAGGGTCTCTGTGTACATACTGGGGTTGTATGGGGTCTCTCTGTACATACTGGGGTTGTATGGGGGTCTCTCTGTACATACTGGGGTTGTAGGGGTCTCTCTGTACATACTGGGGTTGTAGGGGTCTCTGTACATACTGGGGTTGTAGGGGTCTCTGTACATACTGGGGTTTGTAGGGGTCTCTCTGTACATACTGGGGTTGTAGGGGTCTCCCTGTACATACTGGGGTTGTAGGGGTCTCTGTGTACATACTGGGGATGTAGGGGTCTCCCTGTACATACTGGGGTTGTAGGGGTCTCCCTGTACATACTAGGGGTTGTATTATGGGGTCTCTGTGTACATACTGGGGTCTCCTGTACTGGGGGTCTCTGTGTACATACTGGGGTTGTTGTGGGGGTGTACATCTCTGTACTGTACATACTGGGGTTGTAGGGTTCTCTGTACACGGTGGGGGGGGATGGTGTCACTCTGTACACATTGGTGGTGTTGGGGTCACTCTGCACATGTTAGGGGGGATGGGGTCACTGTGCACACGGGGGTCAGTGTGGAGAGTAGGGGTGCCTGTAGTGACGTTCTTTGTCCCCCACAGGAACCCCTACTACTACGAGAAGGTGGGGGACCCCCTGGACCTGCTGACCATCGAGAAGCAGATCCTCAGTGGTCACTACAAGGCGGTGGAAGCGTTTGACACGGACATGCTGAAGGTTTTCCGCAACGCCGAGGTAAGCGTGGCCCTTGGCTCCTCCCCCTCCATACAATGACCGGGTTGCCGTGGCTCCTCCCCCTCCATACAATGACCGGGTTGCCGTGGCTCCTCCCCTCCATACAATGACTAGGTTGTCTGGCTCCTCCCCCTCCATACAATGACCGGGGTTGCCGTGGCTCCTCCCCTCCATACAATGACTGGATTGCCTTGGCTCCTCCCCCTCCATCCTATGACCGGGTTGCCGTGGCTCCTCCCCTCCATACAATGACTGTGTTGTCGTGGCTCCTCCCCCTCCATACAATGACCAGGTTGCCGTGGCTCCTCCCCTCCATACAATGACTGGGTTGCCTTGGCTCCTCCCCCTCCCATACAATGGACCGGGTTGCCGTGGCTCCTCCCCTCCATACAATGACTGGGTTGTCGTGGCTCCTCCCCCTCCATACAATGACCAGGTTGCTGTGGCTCCTCCCCCTCCATCCAATGACCGGTTTGCTGTGGCTCCTCCCCCTCCATCTTATGACTGGGTTGCCGTGGCTCCTCCCCCTCCATCCAATGACCGCTTGCCTTGGCTCCTCCCCTCCATACAATGACTGGGTTGTCGTGGCTCCTCCCCATCCATACAATGACCGGGTTGCCGTGGCTCCTCCCCCTCCATCCAATGACCGGTTTGCCTTGGCTCCTCCCCTCCATCCTATGACCGGGTTGCCGTGGCTCCTCCCCCTTCATACAGTGACTGGGCCGCCTTGGCTCCTCCCCACTCCATCCAATGACCAGGCCGCCGTGGCTCCTCCCCCTCCATCCAATGACCGGGTTGCTGTGGCTCCTCCCCCTCCTTACAGTGACTGGGCCGCCTTGGCTCCTCCCCCCTCCATACAGTGACCGGTTGCCGTGGCTCCTCCCCCTCCATACAGTGACTAGGCCGTCGTGGCTCCTCCCCCTCCATACAGTGACTGGGCCGCCTTGGCTCCTCCCCCCTCCATACAGTGACCGTTTGTCGTGGCTCCTCCCCCTCCATATCATCCTCCGCTTCCCTCCCAGAAGTACCACGGCAGGAAGTCAGCGATTGGTCGGGACCGTTGTGTGCCGGCTGAGGAAGGCGTATTACAGCGCGAGGCACGAGTCGTCAGCGCAGATCGATGAGATTATGGGGGAGACCGGCGAGCGAGGCGGACAGCTGCGACACCTCCATATGTGACAAAGATGGCGGCCATGAGAAGGAGGATGACATCATCCGCTGTATCTGCGGGGGCCTCTACAAGGACGAGGGGCTGATGATCCAATGTGAGAAATGTATGGTGAGTGCAACCTCCATCATCGAGTGCATGAGGAGCGATCACAGGGGGGGTGTATGAGGAGCGATCACAGGGGGGTGCATGAGGAGGGATCACAGGGGGGTGTATGAGGAGGGATCACAGAGGGGTGTATGATGGGAGGAGTCCATGGAGCGATCACAGGGGGGTGTATGAGGAGGGATCACAGGGGGGTGTATGAGGAGGGATCACAGAGGGGTGTATGAGGAGCGATCACAGGGGGGTGTATGAGGAGCGATCACAGGGGGGTGTATGAGGAGCGATCACAGGGGGGTGTATGAGGAGCGATCACAGGGGGGGTGTATGAGGAGCGATCACAGGGGGGTGTATGAGGAGCGATCACAGGGGGGTGTATGAGGAGCGATCACAGGGGGGTGTATGAGGAGCGATCACAGGGGGGTGTTATGAGGAGCGATCACAGGGGGGTGTATGAGGAGCGATCACAGGGGGGTGTATGAGGAGCGATCACAGGGGGGTGTATGAGGAGCGATCACAGGGGGGGTGTATGAGGAGCGATCACAGGGGGGTGTATGAGGAGGGATCACAGGGGGGTGTATGAGGAGCGATCACAGGGGGGTGTATGAGGAGCGATCACAGGGGGGTGTATGAGGAGCGATCACAGGGGGGTGTATGAGGAGGGATCACAGGGGGGGTGCATGAGGAGCGATCACAGGGGGGTGTATGAGGAGCGATCACAGGGGGGTGTATGAGGAGCGATCACAGGGGGGTGTATGAGGAGCGATCACAGGGGGGTGTATGAGGAGCGATCACAGGGGGGTGTATGAGGAGCGATCACAGGGGGGTGTATGAGGAGCGATCACAGGGGGGTGTATGAGGAGCGATCACAGGGGGGGTGTATGAGGAGCGATCACAGGGGGGTGTATGAGGAGCGATCACAGAGGGGTGTATGAGGAGCGATCACGGGGGTGTATGAGGAGGGATCACAGGGGGGGTGCAATGAGGAGCGATCACAGGGGGGTGTATGAGGAGCGATCACAGGGGGGTGTATGAGGAGGGATCACAGAGGGGTGTAGGAGGAGGGATCACAGGGTGTATGAGGAGGGATCACAGAGGGTGTATGAGGAGGGATCACAGGGGGGTGTATGAGGAGGGATCACAGGGGGGTGTATGAGGAGGGATCACAGAGGGGTGTATGAGGAGGGATCACAGGGGGGTGTATGAGGAGGGATCACAGAGGGTGTATGAGGAGGGATCACAGGGGGGTGTATGAGGAGCGATCACAGGGGGGTGTAGGAGGAGCGATCACAGGGGGGTGTATGAGGAGGGATCACAGAGGGGTGTATGAGGAGGGATCACAGGGGGGTGCATGAGGAGCGATCACAGGGGGGTGTATGAGGAGCGATCACGGGGGTGTATGAGGAGGGATCACAGGGGGGTGTATGAGGAGCGATCACAGGGGGGTGTATGAGGAGCGATCACAGAGGGGTGTATGAGGAGGGATCACAGGGGGGTGTATGAGGAGGGATCACAGAGGGGTGTATGAGGAGGGATCACAGGGGGGTGTATGAGGAGGGATCACAGGGGGGTGTATGAGGAGCGATCACAGGGGGGTGTATGAGGAGGGATCACAGGGGGGTGTATGAGGAGGGATCACAGGGGGGTGTATGAGGAGCGATCACAGAGGGGCGTATGAGGGAGCGATCACAGGGGGGCGTATGAGGAGGGATCACAGGGGGGCGTATGAGGAGGGATCACAGGGGGGCGTATGAGGAGGGATCACAGGGGGGCGTATGAGGAGGGATCACAGGGGGTGTGTATGAGGAGGGATCACAGAGGGTGTATGAGGAGGGATCACAGGGGGGTGTATGAGGAGGGATCACAGGGGGGCGTATGAGGAGGGATCACAGGGGGGCGTATGAGGAGGGATCACAGAGGGTGTATGAGGAGCGATCACAGGGGGGGCGTATGAGGAGGGATCACAGGGGGGTGTATGAGGAGGGATCACAGAGGGTGTATGAGGAGGGATCACAGAGGGGTGTATGTATGAGGAGGGATCACAGGGGGTGTATGAGGAGGGATCACAGAGGGGTGTATGAGGAGGGATCACAGGGGGGTGTATGAGGAGGGATCACAGGGGGGTGTATGAGGAGCGATCACAGAGGGGTTATGAGGAGCGATCACAGGGGGGCGTATGAGGAGGGATCACAGAGGGGCGTATGAGGAGCGATCACAGAGGGGGTGTATGAGGAGGGCGATCACAGGGGGGCGTATGAGGAGGGATCACAGGGGGGTGTATGAGGAGGGATCACAGGGGGGTGTATGAGGAGGAATCACAGGGGGGTGTATGAGGAGGGATCACAGGGGGGTGTATGAGGAGCGATCACAGAGGGTGTATGAGGAGGGATCACAGAGGGGTGTATGAGGAGGGATCACAGAGGGGTGTATGAGGAGCGATCACAGAGGGGTGTATTGAGGAGCGATCACAGGGGGTGTACGAGGAGGGATCACGAGGGAGGGGGGGGGGTGAGAGGAGGGATCACGGGGGGGGGGGTGTACGAGGAGGGATCACGGGGGGGGGGTGTACAAGGAGGGATCACGGGGGGTGCATGAGGAGGGATCACGGGGGGGTGCACGAGGAGCGATCACGGCGGGGGGGCGCACGAGGAGGGATCACGGGGGGGCGCACGAGGAGGGTTCACTGGGAGGGGGCGCCGTACGAGGAGGGATCACGGGGGGGGCGTGCGAGGAGCGATCAGGGGGGGGGGGGCGTGCGAGGGAGCGATCACGGGGGGGCGTACGAGGAGGGATCACGGGGGGGGTACGAGGAGGGATCACGGGGGGGGGCTTGTGCGAGGAGCGATCACGGGGAGGGGGGGGCGTACGAGGAGCGATCACGGGGGGGGGTGCGAGGAGCGATCACGGGGGGGCGTACGAGGAGGGATCACGGGGGGGGCGTACGAGGAGGGATCACGGGGGGGCGTGCGAGGAGCGATCACAGGGGGGGCGTACGAGGAGGGATCACGGGGGGGCGTACGAGGAGCGATCACGGGGGGGTGTATGAGGAGGGATTGATAGAGGAGTGTCCTCATTCATGCTGAGCACGTAGCTCCTCGGGGGCGGGGCGGACATATAGCCCTCCTTGGTGGGCGGTCCCCTCATTCATGCTGACTCCTCCCCCATGATCTCCGGAGTCGGATCCCTTGAGTGGGATTCCTGGGAGTCTCACTCCTTCAGCTGCAGTGGGCGTGTCTCAGTGTGATCCTTGTTATTGTTGGGGGTGTGACCAGTTTTTGCCCCTACCCCCGCAGGTCTGGCAGCACTGTGACTGTATGGGGGTGACGTCAGACGTGGAGCATTACCTGTGTGAGCAGTGTGACCCCCGGGCCATCGATCGGGTAAGGAGCCCCCCCCCCCGTGCCCCCCCCCCGCCTTGTGCCCCCCGTGACCCCCGCCTTTGTGCCCCCCGTGACCCTGCCTTGTGCCCCCCGTGACCCCTGCCCTTGTGCCCCCCGTGACCCCACCTTTTGCCTCCTTGTGCCCCCTGTGACCCCGCCTTGTGTCCCTTGTGACCCCGCTTTGTGCCCCCCGTGACCCCACCTTTTGCCTCCTTGTGCCCCCTGTGACCCCCGCCTTGTGCCCCTGTGACCCCACCTTGTGCCCCCTGTGACCCCGCCTTGTGCACCCCATGACCCCGCCTTGTGCCCCCTGTGACCCCACCTTGTGACCCTGCCTTCTGCCCCCTGTGACCCCCGCCTTGTGACCCCACCTTGTTCCTCCTGTGACCCCGCCTTGTGCCTCCCCCGTGACCCGCCTTGTGCCCCCGTGACCCCGCCTTGTGCACCCCCATGACCCCGCCTTGTGCCCCCTGTGACCCTGCCTTCTGCCCCCTGTGACCCCGCCTTGTGACCCCACCTTGTGTTCCTCCTGTGACCCCGCCTTGTGCCTCCCCTGTGACCCCGCCTTGTGCCCCATGACCCCGCCTTGTGCCCCCCTGACCTAGCCTTTTTACCCTGCCTTGTGCCCCCGTGACCCCACCTTGTGCCCCCCCGTGACCCCGCCTTGTGCCCCGTGACCCCGCCTTGTGCCCCCGCCTTGTTGCCCCCCGTGACCCCGCCTTGTGCCCCCCGTGACCCCGCCTTGTGCCCCCCGTGACCCCGCCTTTTTACCCTGCCTTGTGCCCCCGTGACCCCACCTTGTGCCCCCCCCCGTGACCCCCCGCCTTGTGCCCCCCATGACCCCGCCTTGTGCCCCCTGTGACCCCGCCTTTTTACCCTGCCTTGTGTCCCCGTGACCCCACCTTGTGCCCCCCCCCGTGACCCCGCCTTGTGCCCCCGCCTTGTGCCCCCCATGACCCCGCCTTGTGCCCCCCATGACCCCGCCTTGTGCCCCCTGTGACCCCGCCTTCTTCTGTTACAGGAAGTTTACCTACCCATGATCCGTGTCCTCATTACGCTCAACCCGGATTCATCTATTTCATCTGCCTCCCCTGCGCGACGATCTGCTGCTCCGACCGGGTCCCTGCAGACTATGTGACCACACCGGGTCCCCTGCAGACTATTACCACACCCGGGTCCCCTGCAGACTATTACCACACACCGGGTGCCCCCTGCAGACTATTACCACCACACCGGGTTCCTGCAGACTATTACCCACACCGGGTTCCCCTGCAGACTATACCGCACACCGGGTCCCCTGCAGACTATTACCCACACCGGGTCCCCTGCAGACTATTACCCACACCGGGTCCCCTGCAGACTATTACCACACCGGGTCCCCTGCAGACTATTACCCACACCGGGTCCCCTGCAGACTATTACCACACACCGGGTCCCTGCAGACTATTTACCACACCGGGTCCCCTGCAGACTATTACCACACACCGGGTCCCCTGCAGACTATTACCACACCGGGTCCCCTGCAGAACTATTACCACACCGGGTCCCCTGCAGACTATTACCACACCGGGTCCCCTGCAGACTATTACCACACCGGGTCCCCTGCAGACTATTACCACACCGGGTCCCCTGCAGACTATTACCCACACCGGGTCCCCTGCAGACTATTACCGCACACCGGGTCCCCTGCAGACTATTACGCACACCGGGTCCCCTGCAGACTATTACCCACACCGGGTCCCCTGCAGACTATTACCACACCGGGTCCCCTGCAGACTATTACCACACACCGGGTCCCCTGCAGACTATTACCACTCCCGGGTCCCCTGCAGACTATTACCGCACACCGGGTCCCCTGCAGACTATTACCGCACACCGGGTCCCCTGCAGACTATTACCACACACCGGGTCCCCTGCAGACTATTACCGCACACCGGGTCCCCTGCAGACTATTACCACACACCGGGTCCCCTGCAGACTATTACCGCACACCGGGTCCCCTGCAGACTATTACCACACACCGGGTCCCCTGCAGACTATTACACACCGGGTCCCCTGCAGACTATTACCACACACCGGGTCCCCTGCAGACTATTACCGCACACCGGGTCCCCTGCAGACTATTACCACACCGGGTCCCCTGCAGACTATTACGCACACCGGGTCCCCTGCAGACTATTACCGCACACCGGGTCCCCTGCAGACTATTACCACACCGGGTCCCCTGCAGACTATTACCCACACCGGGTCCCCTGCAGACTATTACCACACCGGGTCCCCTGCAGACTATTACCACACACCGGGTCCCCTGCAGACTATTACCACACCGGGTCCCCTGCAGACTATTACCGCACACCGGGTCCCCTGCAGACTATTACCGCACACCGGGGTCCCCTGCAGACTATTACCAGACTATTACCACCGGGTCCCCTGCAGACTATTACCGCACACCGGGTCCCCTGCAGACTATTACCCACACACGGGTCCCCTGCAGACTATTACCACACCGGGTCCCCTGCAGACTATTACCCACACCGGGTCCCCTGCAGACTATTACCACACCGGGTCCCCTGCAGACTATTACCGCAGCACACCGGGTCCCCTGCAGACTATTACCACACCACCGGGTCCCCTGCAGACTATTACCGCACACACCGGGTCCCCTGCAGACTATTACCACACACCGGGTCCCCTGCAGACTATTACCGCACACCGGGTCCCCTGCAGACTATTACCGCACACGGGTCCCCTGCAGACTATTACCACACCGGGTCCCCTGCAGACTATTACCACACACCGGGTCCCCTGCAGACTATTACCACACCGGGTCCCCTGCAGACTATTACCACACCGGGTCCCCTGCAGATATATTACCACACCGGGTCCCCTGCAGACTATTACCACACCGGGTCCCCTGCAGACTATTACACACACGGGTCCCCTGCAGACTATTACCGCACACCGGGTCCCCTGCAGACTATTACCCACACGGGTCCCCTGCAGACTATTACCACACCGGGTCCCCTGCAGACTATTTACCACACCGGGTCCCCTGCAGACTATTACCACACACCGGGTCCCCTGCAGACTATTACCACACCGGGTCCCCTGCAGACTATTACCACACCGGGTCCCCTGCAGACTATTACCACACCGGGTCCCCTGCAGACTATTACCACCACACCGGGTCCCCTGCAGACTATTACCGCACACCGGGTCCCCTGCAGACTATTACCGCACACCGGGTCCCCTGCAGACTATTACCACACACGGGTCCCCTGCAGACTATTACCACACCGGGTCCCCTGCAGACTATTACCACACCGGGTCCCCTGCAGACTATTACCGCACACCGGGTCCCCTGCAGACTATTACCGCACACCGGGTCCCCTGCAGACTATTACCGCACACCGGGTCCCCTGCAGACTATTACCCACACCGGGTCCCCTGCAGACCCACTGTCCCCTGCAGACTATTACCACACCGGGTCCCCTGCAGACTATTACCACACCGGGTCCCCTGCAGACTATTACCACACACCGGGTCCCCTGCAGACTATTACCGCACCGGGTCCCCTGCAGACTATTACCGCACACCGGGTCCCCTGCAGACTATTACGCACACCGGGTCCCCTGCAGACTATTACCACACCGGGTCCCCTGCAGACTATTACCGCACACCGGGTCCCCTGCAGACTATTACCAGCACACCGGGTCCCCTGCAGACTATTACCGCACACCGGGTCCCCTGCAGACTATTACCGCACACACCGGGTCCCCTGCAGACTATTACCACACACCGGGTCCCCTGCAGACTATTACCGCACACCGGGTCCCCTGCAGACTATTACCACACCGGGTCCCCTGCAGACTATTACCGCACACCGGGTCCCCTGCAGACTATTACCGCACACACGGGGTCCCCTGCAGACTATTACCGCACACCCGGGTCCCCTGCAGACTATTACCACACCGGGTCCCCTGCAGACTATTACCGCACACGGGTCCCCTGCAGACTATTACCCACACCGGGTCCCCTGCAGACTATTACCACACGGGTCCCCTGCAGACTATTACCACACCGGGTCCCCTGCAGACTATTACCGCACACGGGTCCCCTGCAGACTATTACCGCCACACCGGGTCCCCTGCAGACTATTACCACACCGGGTCCCCTGCAGACTATTACCACACCGGGTCCCCTGCACAGGGACTATTACCGCACACCGGGTCCCCTGCAGACTATTACCAGGGAACACCGGGGTCCCCTGCAGACTATTACCACACTCCCGGGTCCCCTGCAGACTATTACCGCACACACGGGTCCCCTGCAGACTATTACCAGGCAAGGGGGGTCCCCTGCAGACCATTAGGGGATAGGGGTCCCCCTGCAGACTATTACCACACCGGGTCCCCTGCAGCACACCGGGTCCCCTGCAGACTATTGCACACCGGGTCCCCTGCAGGACCAGGGACACCGGGGGGGGGAGGGGTACCAGGGAGGTATGCAGGGACTATTACCACACCCGGGTTCCCCTGCAGGGATTAGGGGGGGTCCTCTGGGGTGCAGGGCCCTACCCTGGGGATAGGGGACCAGGGAAGGGGGGGAGACTATTGCAGGGCGGGGGATAGGGGACCAGGGAAGGGGGGGGAGGGGTAGAACAGGGTGCAGGGGGGGGGATAGGGGACCAGGGAAGGGGGGGAGGGGGTGCAGGGAGGGGGATAGGGGACCAGGGGATCTCCAGGGGGGGGGGGCATTTTAGATCACAGGGGACAGGGAGGGGGAGGGGTGCAGGGAGGGGATAGGGGACCAGGGAAGGGGGGGGGAGGGGTGCAGGGAGGGGGGGATAGGGGACCAGGGGGGGGAGGGGGGGGAGGGGTTGCAGGGGGGGGAGGGGGAGGGGACCAGGGAGGGGGAAGGGGACCAGGGGGAGGGGTGCAGGGTGCAGGGGGGGGGATAGGGGACCAGGGAAGGGGGGAGGGGTGCAGGGAGGGGGATAGGGGACCAGGGAAGGGGGGGGGGAGGGGTGCAGGGGGAGGGGGGATAGGGGACCAGGGATAGGGGGAGGGGTGCAGGGGTTGGGGTGCAGGGGACCAGGGAAGGGGGAGAGGTCAGGGAAGGGGTAGGGGACCAGGGACTGGGGGGAGGGTTTGTCAGGGAGGGGGTAGGGGACCAGGGAGGGAGGGGGGGGTTTCAGGGAGGGGGACAGGGGGATTCAGGGGGGGGTGCAGGAAGGTCTCCCCCATTGGTACAGGGGGAAGGGGGGACAGGGGTTCAGGAGGGGGTAGGGGAATGGGGGGAGGGGTTCAGGAGTGACAGGCGGTAGGAGGGGGAGGGGTGGGTCAGGGAAGGGGGATCAGCTCTGACACGTTCAGCGGATTGGGGGGTGCAGGGGACTGTGGGATCTGATGAGGGACAGTCGGGGGACTCGGACAGGTCGGAGTGGGGGGGCGGGGTTCACGTGAGGGAGGCGGGGGTGCAGGGAAGGGGGGGGGGTTGCAGGGAAGGGGGGGCTGGGGGGTGACCCCCATGCTCAGCTCTGACACGTCTCCCCCATTGTGTGTCACCAGGGGACTGTGTGTATCTGATGAGGGACAGTCGGAGGACTCCGGGACGGGGAAGGGGGCGGGGTTCAGTGAAGGAGGCGGGGTTCAGGGAAGGGGCAGGGGGGCGGGGTTCAGGGAAGGGGGGCGGGGGGTGCAGGGAAGTCGGGGGCAGGGTGACCCCCATGCTCAGCTCTGACACGTCTCCCCCATTGTGTGTCACCCAGGGGACTGGCTGTATCTGATGAGGGACAGTCGGGTCGGAAGGACTCCCGGACGGGGAAGGGGGCGGGGTGGGTTCAGTGAAGGAGGGGGGTTCAGGGAAGGGGGCAGGTGCAGGGGAAGGGGGCGTGGTGACCCCCATGCTCAGCTTCTGACACGTCTCCCCCATGGGTGTCACCAGGGGACTGCGTGTATCTGATGAGGGACAGTCGGAGGACTCCGGACGGGGAAGGGGGCGGGGTTCAGTGAAGGAGCGGGGCGGGGTTCAGGGAAGGGAAGGGGGGGCGGGGTGCAGGGAAGGGGGCGGGGTGACCCCTATGCTCAGCTCTGACACGTCTCCCCCATTGGGTGTCACCAGGGGACTGTGTGTATCTGATGAGGGACAGTCGGGGGAGGACTCCGGAGGGAAGGGAATGAAGGGGGGGGCGGGGTTCAGGGAAGGGGGCGGGGTTCAGGGAAGGGGGGGGGCGGGGTGCAGGGAAAGGGGGCGGGGTGACCCCCATGCTCAGCTCTGACACGTCTCCCCCATTGGGTGTCACCAGGGGACTGCGTGTATCTGATGAGGGACAGTCGGAGGACTCCGGAAGGCCAGCCGGTGAGACAATCCTACCGACTTTTATCTCACATCAACCGCAACAAACTGGACATCTTCCGCATAGAGAAGCTCTGGAAGAACGCGAGAAGTAAGTGGGCTGCCTGTGATCTGCCTGTGGGGGGCGCCGGGTCCCGTACGTTACATTTCCTCCTCCATGGAGGACACAGGAAGTCACATACTATCGGGTTATACCGCCAATATTGTAGGCCAGCCCCAGGATAACCCCGCCCCTACCCAGCATGCCTCTGTACTTTGCTGGTGTCCTAGGTTAGGGGTGGGCAACTGTGGCCCTCCAGCTGTTGGTGAACTACAAGTCCCATCATGCCTCTGCCTTTGGGAGTCATGCTCAGTTGTGCAATGCCTCATGGGACTTGCAGTTCTACAACAGCTGGAGGGCCCCCACTGACCTAGGTGATGGGGAAAGTCTCACCGATCGATGGCCGCCTATTTTTCTTTGATTTTCCTCGGATTCCATTGACTTCATCAAGATCCTCACTGCAACTGCATCTCTATCAGGGCTGGTCTCCTCCTACTTCAGAGGCTGGTCTCCTCCTACTTCAGAGGCTGTAGCTGGAATGGAGGATCCTGGGGCCATGCTGGGTTGTGTCCTCCAGGCACTGGGCTCTATAGTAACCCTAACCCAGATTCCGGGGTTTCCCTGGCAAGTCTTGCTTAGCGAGGTCAGTAACCCAGATTCCGGGGTTTCCCTGGCAAGTCTTGCTTAGCGAGGTCAGTAACCCAGATTCCGGGGGTTTCCCTGGCAAGTCTTGCTTAGCGAGGTCAGTAACCCAGATTCCGGGGGTTTCCCTGGCAAGTCTTGCTTAGCGAGGTCAGTAACCCAGATTCCGGGGTTTCCCTGGCAAGTCTTGCTTAGCGAGGTCAGTAACCCAGATTCCGGGGTTTCCCTGGCAAGTCGTGCTTAGCGAGGTCAGTAACCCAGATTCCGGGGTTTCCCTGGCAAGTCTTGCTTAGCGAGGTCAGTAACCCAGATTCCGGGGTTTCCCTGGCAAGTCGTGCTTAGCGAGGTCAGTAACCCTAACCCAGATTCCGGGGTTTCCCTGGCAAGTCGTGCTTAGCGAGGTCAGTAACCCAGATTCCGGGGTTTCCCTGGCAAGTCTTGCTTAGCGAGGTCAGTAACCCTAACCCAGATTCCGGGGTTTCCCTGGCAAGTCTTGCTTAGCGAGGTCAGTAACCCAGATTCCGGGGTTTCCCTGGCAAGTCTTGCTTTAGCGAGGTCAGTAACCCAGATTCCGGGGTTTCCCTGGCAAGTCTTGCTTAGCGAGGTCAGTAACCCAGATTCCGGGGTTTCCCTGGCAAGTCTTGCTTAGCGAGGTCAGTAACCCAGATTCCGGGGGTTTCCCTGGCAAGTCTTGCTTAGCGAGGTCAGTAACCCAGATTCCGGGTTTCCCTGGCAAGTCTTGCTTAGCGAGGTCAGTAACCCAGATTCCGGGGTTTCCCTGGCAAGTCGTGCTTAGCGAGGTCAGTAACCCAGATTCCGGGGTTTCCCTGGCAAGTCTTGCTTAGCGAGGTCAGTAACCCAGATTCCGGGGTTTCCCTGGCAAGTCGTGCTTAGCGAGGTCAGTAACCCTAACCCAGATTCCGGGGTTTCCCTGGCAAGTCGTGCTTAGCGAGGTCAGTAACCCAGATTCCGGGGTTTCCCTGGCAAGTCTTGCTTAGCGAGGTCAGTAACCCTAACCCAGATTCCGGGGTTTCCCTGGCAAGTCTTGCTTAGCGAGGTCAGTAACCCAGATTCCGGGGTTTCCCTGGCAAGTCTTGCTTAGCGAGGTCAGTAACCCTAACCCAGATTCCGGGGTTTCCCTGGCAAGTCTTGCTTAGCGAGGTCAGTAACCCAGATTCCGGGGTTTCCCTGGCAAGTCGTGCTTAGCGAGGTCAGTAACCCAGATTCCGGGGTTTCCCTGGCAAGTCGTGCTTAGCGAGGTCAGCTGTTTGTCCTATGACCCTGGGGCTCGAGCCTGTAAAGGTTTTAGGTTTTTCCCTTTTAGAGCTTCTGGTCTTTTCACCAGAACCTGCTTTTTGTTTAGGTTCTCTTTTTGGACTTGTTCCTTCCAAGGACTTGGCCCATTTGTTGTTGACCTCATCAGGTTGTGGGAAATCGTTGTCCTGCCTGTTTTCGGTGGGTTCTGGTTGATCAGCTGATTCAGGGTGGAGTCCCTTCTGTGTGGATCTCTTCCCCCGTGGTGGTGACCTTTTTTTTTTCCTGGTCTGAGCTTCAATTGATCCTCTTTGGCGGTTCCCTTGTCTGGTCTGAGCTTCAGTTTGACGTGTTCTTCACGGGTTGTGCTGGCAATTGCCCTGTCTGGTCTGTGCTTCAGGTTGACGTGTTCTTCACAGATCATGTGGTGGTTCCCCTGCCTGGTCTGTGCTTCAAGTTGACGTGTTCTTCACAGATCGTGTTGGTGGTTCCCCTGTCTGGTCTGTGCTTCAGGTTGACCTGTTCACAGATCGTGTTGGTGGTCCCCTGTCTGGTCTGTGCTTCAGGTTGACCTGTTCACAGATCGTGTTGGTGGTTCCCCTGCCTGGTCTGTGCTTCAGGTTGACCTGTTCACAGATCGTGTTGGTGGTTCCCCTGTCTGGTCTGTGCTTCAAGTTGACGTGTTCTTCACAGATCGTGTTGGTGGTTCCCCTGTCTGGTCTGTGCTTCAAGTTGACGTGTTCTTCACAGATCGTGTTGGTGGTTCCCCTGCCTGGTCTGTGCTTCAGGTTAACATGTCCTTCACAGATTGTGTTGGTGGTTCCCCTGTCTGGTCTGAGCTTCAGTTGATCCTCCATGTTCTTCACGGGTCGTATTGGCAGTTCCCATTTGGTCTGAGCTTAAGTCTACCGTCTGTGTTCTTCCCGAGTCGTGTTGGCAGTTCCCCTGTCTGGTCTGAGCTTCAGTTGATCCTCTGTGTTCTTCATGGGTCATGTTGGCAGTTCCCGTCTGGTCTGAGCTTCAGGTTGACATGTTTTTCACGGGTCATGTTGGCATATCCCCTGTCTGGTCTGAACTTTGGTTGATCCTCTGTGTTTTTTATAGGCCGTGTTGGTGGTTCCCCTGTCTGGTCTGAGCTTCAGTTGATCCTCCATGTTTTTCACAGGCCGTGTTGGCGGTTCCCTGTCTAGTCTGAGCTTCAGTTGATCCTCTGTGTTCTTCACGGGTTGTGTTGGCGGTTCCCTTGTCTGAGCTTCAGTTGATCCTCTGTGTTCTTCACGGGTTGTGTTGGCGGTTCCCTTGTCTGAGCTTCAGTTGATCCTCTGTGTTCTTCACGGGTTGTGTTGGCGGTTCCCCTGTCTGGTCTGAGCTTCTGTTGATCCTCTGTGTTCTTCATGGGTCATGTTGGCAGTTCCCATCTGGTCTGAGCTTCAGGTTGACATGTTTTTTCACGGGTCATGTTGGCATATCCCCTGTCTGGTCTGAACTTTGGTTGATCCTCTGTGTTCTTTATAGGCTGTGTTTGAGGTTCCCTTGTCCGGTCTGAGCTTCAGTTGATCCTCTGTGTTCTTCACGGGCCATGTTGGCGGTTCCCCTGTCTGGTCTGAGCTTCAGTTGATCCTCTGTGTTCTCCACGGGCCATGTTGGCGGTTCCCCTGTCTGGTCTGAGCTTCTGTTGATCCTCTGTGTTCTTCATGGGTCATGTTGGCAGTTCCCATCTGGTCTGAGCTTCAGGTTGACATGTTTTTTCACGGGTCATGTTGGCATATCCCCTGTCTGGTCTGAACTTTGGTTGATCCTCTGTGTTCTTTATAGGCTGTGTTTGAGGTTCCCTTGTCCGGTCTGAGCTTCAGTTGATCCTCTGTGTTCTTCACGGGCCATGTTGGCGGTTCCCCTGTCTGGTCTGAGCTTCAGTTGATCCTCTGTGTTCTTCACAGGCCGTGTTGGCGGTTCCCTTGTCTGAGCTTCAGTTGATCCTCTGTGTTCTTCACGGGTTGTGTTGGCGGTTCCCCTGTCTGGTCTGAGCTTCAGTTGATCCTCTGTGTTCTTCACGGGTTGTGTTGGCGGTTCCCCTGTCTGGTCTGAGCTTCAGTTGATCCTCTGTGTTCTCCACTGGCCATGTTGGCGGTTCCCCTGTCTGGTCTGAGCTTCAGTTGATCCTCTGTGTTCTTCACGGGCCATGTTGGCGGTTCCCCTGTCTGGTCTGAGCTTCAGTTGATCCTCTGTGTTCTTCACGGGTTGTGTTGGCGGTTCCCCTGTCTGGTCTGAGCTTCAGTTGATCCTCTGTGTTCTCCGCAGGCCGTGTTGGCGGTTCCCCTGTCTGGTCTGAGCTTCAGTTGATCCTCTGTGTTCTCCACAGGCCGTGTTGGCGGTTGTCCCCTGTCTGGTCTGAGCTTCAGTTGATCCTCTGTGTTCTTCACGGGTTGTGTTGGCGGTTCCCCTGTCTGGTCTGAGCTTCAGTTGATCCTCTGTGTTCTCCACTGGCCATGTTGGCGGTTCCCCTGTCTGGTCTGAGCTTCAGTTGATCCTCTGTGTTCTTCACGGGCCATGTTGGCGGTTCCCCTGTCTGGTCTGAGCTTCAGTTGATCCTCTGTGTTCTTCACGGGTTGTGTTGGCGGTTCCCCTGTCTGGTCTGAGCTTCAGTTGATCCTCTGTGTTCTCCGCAGGCCGTGTTGGCGGTTCCCCTGTCTGGTCTGAGCTTCAGTTGATCCTCTGTGTTCTCCACAGGCCGTGTTGGCGGTTCCCCTGTCTGGTCTGAGCTTCAGTTGATCCTCTGTGTTCTTCACGGGTTGTGTTGGCGGTTCCCCTGTCTGGTCTGAGCTTCAGTTGATCCTCTGTGTTCTCCACAGGCCATGTTGGCGGTTCCCCTGTCTGGTCTGAGCTTCAGTTGATCCTCTGTGTTCTTCACGGGTTGTGTTGGCGGTTCCCCTGTCTGGTCTGAGCTTCAGTTGATCCTCTGTGTTCTCCACAGGCCATGTTGGCGGTTCCCCTGTCTGGTCTGAGCTTCAGTTGATCCTCTGTGTTCTTCACGGGTTGTGTTGGCGGTTCCCCTGTCTGGTCTGAGCTTCAGTTGATCCTCTGTGTTCTTCACGGGTTGTGTTGGCGGTTCCCCTGTCTGGTCTGAGCTTCAGTTGATCCTCTGTGTTCTCCACAGGCCGTGTTGGCGGTTCCCCTGTCTGGTCTGAGCTTCAGTTGATCCTCTGTGTTCTTCACGGGTTGTGTTGGCGGTTCCCCTGTCTGGTCTGAGCTTCAGTTGATCCTCTGTGTTCTCCACAGGCCATGTTGGCAGTTCCCCTGTCTGGTCTGAGCTTCAGTTGATCCTCTGTGTTCTTCACGGGTTGTGTTGGTGGTTCCCCTGTCTGGTCTGAGCTTCAGTTGATCCTCTGTGTTCTCCACAGGCCATGTTGGCGGTTCCCCTGTCTGGTCTGAGCTTCAGTTGATCCTCTGTGTTCTCCACAGGCCATGTTGGCGGTTCCCTTGTCTGAGCTTCAGTTGATCCTCTGTGTTCTTCACGGGTTGTGTTGGCGGTTCCCCTGTCTGGTCTGAGCTTCAGTTGATCCTCTGTGTTCTCCACAGGCCATGTTGGCGGTTCCCCTGTCTGGTCTGAGCTTCAGTTGATCTTCTGTGTTCTCCACAGGCCGTGTTGGCGGTTCCCTTGTCTGAGCTTCAGTTGATCCTCTGTGTTCTTCACGGGTTGTGTTGGCGGTTCCCCTGTCTGGTCTGAGCTTCAGTTGATCCTCTGTGTTCTCCACAGGCCGTGTTGGCGGTTCCCCTGTCTGGTCTGAGCTTCAGTTGATCCTCTGTGTTCTTCACGGGTTGTGTTGGCGGTTCCCCTGTCTGGTCTGAGCTTCAGTCGAGCCTCAATGTTCTTCACATTCAGGCCGTGTTGGCGTTTCCCCTGTCTGGTTGGAAGTTTGGCCTCATCTGGTTCAGATTTGGGCCCTCAGGCAGCCTCTGGGCTGCAGGCAGTTCCCCCGTCCTTTCTGGACTTGTAAGTCCTTGTTGTCCTCCTCTTGGACTAATTTTGGACATCCAGCCTGGATCTGAATTCCTGCGTCCATCAATGGATGAGAAAGTGCTCAGTGTAAGATTCTTTTCCTGGAGACCATTGAGGGCCACAGATCCCTCCACTCTCATCATGCTGTTGGTAATGCTTCCTACTGAGGCATGCTGGGACGAGGAGGCATTGTCCTGGGGGTGGCCTTCAGTTTTTTTCAGTGCCCAGTCCTCCTGTAGGTGGCAGTATAACCCGACACTATCTGAACTCTTGTGTCCTTCAGTGGATTCTAAGCAAAAGATTTCACCTGGAGTAAAACCGATGGCTTCCTCCTCCCGATGTCTCCATAATGGATGTTCTTCTTCCTCCACAGGGGCGAACGATTCGCCTTTGGCCACCATTATTTTCGGCCCCATGAGACGCACCATGCGCCATCACGCAAGTTTTACCACAACGAGCTTTTCCGCGTGCCGCTGTATGAGATCATCCCGCTGGAGGCCGTGGTGGGGACATGCTGCGTGCTGGACCTGTATACGTACTGCAAAGGTGAGCGCCACCCCATGGTGAGTCCTTAGATGTGCGGGGTGTCACAGGACATCGTGTGACACCCTCTGTGTCTCCTCCACAGGCCGGCCGAAGGGAGTGAAGGAACAAGACGTTCATATCTGTGACTACCGGCTGGACAAATCAGCGCACTTATTCTACAAAATCCACCGGAATCGCTACCAATCAGCCCCCGTCTGCACCAAGAACTACGCCTTCGACCACTTCTCCAAGAAGATGGCCCCGAAAAGAGACTTCTCTGTAAGTAGCGTCTTTCCTGTGACACCGGGGGGAGGGTAGAACTCCAGACAAGACATCGGATGGAGCGGGGATGGGGTTTTATGTTGGTCTCGGGGAGTCTTCTCACTTCCTGTCCTGGTGACACCCACACCCCCGTTTCTTGTACGGGTGTCACAGGGACAGGAAGTGATGGTTACAACCTCATACAATGTGACTTCCTGTCCTAGTGACACCCACACCCCCGTTTTTTTGTATGGGTGTCACAGGGACAGGAAGTGATGGTTACAATCTCATATAATGTGACTTCCTGTCCTGGTGACACCCACATCCCCCATTTCTTGTACAAGTGTCACAGGGACAGGAAGTGATGGGAAAAGCTTCATACAGTGTGTATTCCTGTCCTGGTGACACCCCACACCCCCGTTTCTTGTACAGGTGTCACAGGGACAGGAAATGATAGTTACAACCTCATACAATAAGACTTCCTGTCCTGGTGACACCCACACCCCCATTTCTTGTACAGGTGTCACAGGGACAGGAAGTGATGGGAAAAGCTTCATACAGTGTGTATTCCTGTCCTGGTGACACCCACACCCCCGTTTCTTGTACAGGTGTCACAGGGACAGGAAGTGATGGTTACAACCTCATACAATCTGACTTCCTGTCCTGGTGACACCCACATCCCCCATTTCTTGTACAGGTGTCACAGGGACAGGCAGTGATGGTTACAACCTCATACAATGTAACTTCCTGTCCTGGTGACACCCACACCCCCATTTCTTGTACAGGTGTCACAGGGACAGGAAATGATGGTTACAACCTCATACAATGTGACTTCCTGTCCTGGTGACACCCACACCCCCATTTCTTGTACAGGTGTCACAGGGACAGGAAGTGATGGTTACAACCTCATACAATGTGACTTCCTGTCCTGGTGACACCCACACCCCCATTTCTTGTACAGGTGTCACAGGGACAGGAAGATGTGGTAGAAACCAGAAGCTCCACCCGAAATAATGAAGGTTTTGGTTGGAGTTGAACTGCCCAGCAGACCAATCAGCAGCTGAGGGCCCGGGGCGGGGCTGGGGCCACATGACATGCATTGTAAACCTCCTCCATCTTGTTTTGCAGCCTCACTATGTTCCAGACAACTACAAGCGGAACGGCGGCAGGTGAGCGCGCTCTCCTCACTGATCTCCATTCCTGTTCTCCTCCCGCTGGCCCCTCCCTCATTAGACCCCGCCTTGTGTCCCATCTCTCAATAGGTCATCCTGGAAGTCGGAGCGGCCCAAGCCCCCCAGCGCCGATCTCCAGCAGGAGGACCCCTCGCCCCTCATGGAGGATTTAATGGTAAACCATGACGCGGCGGTACAGGAGGACTCGGAGGTGGGCGGCTCCACGCAGCCGGAGGGTGGAGAGAGCGCCGCGGTGGAGAGTGACACAGCCCCCCGCCACGCCTCTGCTCCTCCCCCGAGGGACAGCAAGCCAAAAGAGACAAACTGAACGGGATCCTCCTCCGCCTGCTGGACAAACTACCCAGCAAGAACGGTGAGCCCAGCAGCCAATCAGAGGCCACCTCTCACCTGACCCCCCCCCCATCTCATGTGAAGAGCGGCCCGAGCCCCGCCCCCTGACGCATGGCATTGGCTGAGGCTTCACATTAGATGGGGCGTCGGCAGAGCGGCGTTTCCATACAACCCGCACATGTGACTCCGGATGAGGGTTCGAGGCGCCGGGACCCCCTATAGAGCGCGGATCACCCGGTGGGGGGGGGGGGGGGGGGGAACCTCGGGCCGTTCAGTCACTGGGGCAGACTGAGCTGTCAGAGGACCCCCTGACCCAATCCCCTCCCCCGATCCCTCCTGATATTACAGGATATTACAGGTTTTCATGCCGTCACTCACTGTAACAGTTCCTTCTGTGATTATTCTGGGAATCGTCCCGTGAATGATGTTATCTTTCACATACAAGCGGTGAATCCGTGTTCCCGGGACGGTAGGAGGTCTCTGCCATACGGTAAGTTCATCAACTGGGGGGGGGGGGTGCAAGGACGGGCGGGGGTTGGGTAGGAATCCCGACATGGATGCTGAATCCTCTCTTTCAGTTGCGGCCTTCACATCTTATTGGCTAGTTCTGCTCAGATGGGCGGTGCCTGTAGGCCGGGTGGGAGGGGCTATGACCTCCTTGGTGTTTCCTGACTCTCCTGCTCTCTCTCCGCAGCCATCGATGTGACGTATCTGCTGGAGGAGGGGCCATGCCGGAAGCTGAGGAGACGCACGCTCAACCTCCCCGAATGCATCTTCAGGAAGTGAGGGCGGGGCCAGTTGTACCCGGAATGTAGAGGAGGCCGCAGGACATCGCTCCGGACCCTCCCAGCGTTCCTCCACCCTGCGGGGGAGGGGGGGGGGGGAGGCTCCCTGTCTGCCATAGCACTTACCATCACCCAGAAGGAGCAGAGAACATTCCGGAGCCCATTGTGCACGCGTTGTGGGCGGAGCCCTGCAGGCGCCGTCATGGCCGCTTCCCATGCTGCGCGGTCACTTCTTCCCGTCTCATCGCCAGACGTTTGCGCTGTCCATCCATGATGTTCCGTGCCCCCCCCCCCCCCCCCCTTGTCCAGACTTTTACGCACTTTTTTCCCAGAAACAGCACTTTCCTCTCTGAACAACATGGCGGCCATCCTGGGGAACCGCAGGAAGGGGGATCCCTCCCGATTGGATGGAGGCATATCTGTGCCGCAAACTGGAACCTCAGCGTCCGATTGGGCTCCACAGAGCGCCGGGAGGTGAAGGGTGGAAGCTGGACTCCCTCTGAGCGCTCCTTCATGATGGGGGGGGGGGGAGGGTAGGATAGGTGGTAGAGGAAGGCCACCATGGCACCCGGCACTTCTATGGCAGCTCATTAGACGGCCAACCATCCCATCCACCTGTATTTATTTCCCCGAATCGGACAACCGCCAAGAGGCACTTTACTATAGAGAGCGCCCCCCGCCTGGACAGAGTCCACACCTCCCCCTAGACGGACCTGCAGGGCCCCCATAACCTCCCAGCGCCCGGGAACAAGGACGTCCCGGCCTCCGAGGTTACAAAACTCAAGCAAAGCCGAAGGATTTTGTTTTGTCGGTTTTAATGTCCTTATAAAAAAAAAGAAAGAAAAAGAAAAAAAGCAAAAGAAAAAAAAAAAAAAGCGATTGTTTATTAACATGCCAAGTAAGGGGCGTGTATATATACGTACATTATATATATATATACGAGTATATCCGCGTGGGTGTAAAGCAATACTATACATGGGGGGGGGGGCCGCGCCTGGCGTACACAGCTCCGCCTTCTGTCTGTCCCCAGCAGAAGGCTCCGCCCCCTGACGCAGAAAATCCGATTCCTTTCACTAGAAAAGAAGAATATTTTATTAAAAAAAAAAAAAAAAAAAGTCAGAGAAGTGTTTCGAATATTTTCTTACCGCTAAGCCGCTGTGGAGTATGAAATACTTTGTACGGCTCGCCCACTTCCACGCCACCGCGAAAACCACCATCATAAAGGGAAATCGATGTATCCGAGGCGGCGGCGGCGGCTCCGACTGACAATCAGGATTCCGAGCGAGCAGCGATATATATATATATATTCCTCTGTGTGTGTGCCCGTGTTCCGACATTTGGGGTTTTGTTTTGTTTTTTTCTTACCGGTGTAGAAATGTCATTTTCGTTGTTTTCTAATAATAATAATAATAATGATGATGATGATGGAAGCAGAAGGTTTCTCCAGTCTAGAAGCACTACAGAGTGGCGCGCCCGGCCCCGGCGGGTTCCGTCATTTGCTGCTAATTTCTTTCATTTTTACAAAGAGAAGGCGAGACATAACCGTAGTGGATTGTTTTGGTGTTAATCTGTAAATCTCTGTATTCCCCGATTCTAGCGATGGATGTACTCTGCAGTCTCAGCTCCTGAGAATCTAGTATTAAACACAAAAAGTCCTGGTTTTCCTACTCGGCACGCCTCGCTTCTTGTCTGCTCCTTTGTTCTACTGGTTTCCTCACATCTCCCATGTCGCCTGTGTGGGTGTGAGAGTGGTGCCCCCTTCCTGAAATATCCCCCACCGAGTGTGTGTGGTGCCACCTTCCCAAGATATCCCCCACCGAGTGTACGTGGTGCCCCCTTCCCAAGATATCCCCCACCGAGTATACGTGGTGCCCCCTTCCTGAAATATCCCCCACCAAGTGTGCGAGTGGTGCCCCCTTCCTGAAATATCCCCCACAGAGTGTGCGTGGTGCCCCCTTCCCAAGATATCCCCCACCGAGTGTACGTGGTGCCCCCTTCCCAAGATATCCCCCACCGAGTGTACGTGGTGCCCCCTTCCCAAGATATCCCCCACCGAGTATACGTGGTGCCCCCTTCCTGAAATATCCCCCACCGAGTGTGTGTGGTGCCACCTTCCCAAGATATCCCCCACCGAGTGTACGTGGTGCCCCCTTCCCAAGATATCCCCCACCGAGTATACGTGGTGCCCCCTTCCTGAAATATCCCCCACCAAGTGTGCGAGTGGTGCCCCCTTCCTGAAATATCCCCCACCGATTGTACGTGGTGCCCCCTTCCCAAGATATCCCCCACCGAGTGTACGTGGTGCCCCCTTCCCAAGATATCCCCCACCGAGTGTACGTGGTGCCCCCTTCCCAAGATATCCCCCACCGAGTGTACGTGGTGCCCCCTTCCCAAGATATCCTCCACTGAGTGTGTGTGGTGCCCCCTTCCTGAAATATCCCCCACCGAATGTGCGTGGTGCTCCCTTCCTGAAATATCCCCCACCGAATGTGCGTGGTGCTCCCTTCCCAAGATATCCCCCACCGAGTGTACGTGGTGCCCCCTTCCCAAGATATCCCCCACCGAATGTGCGTGGTGCCCCCTTCCCAAGATATCCCCCACCGAGTGTGCGTGGTGCCCCCTTCCTGAAATATCCCCCACTGAATGTGCGTGGTGCTCCCTTCCTGAAATATCCCCCACCGAATGTGCGTGGTGCTCCCTTCCTGAAATATCCCCCACCGAATGTGCGTGGTGCTCCCTTCCTGAAATATCCCCCACTGAATGTGCGTGGTGCTCCCTTCCCAAGATATCCCCCACCGAGTGTACGTGGTGCCCCCTTCCCAAGATATCCCCCCACCGAGTGTGCGTGGTACCCCCTTCCTGAAATATCCCCCACCGAATGTGCGTGGTGCTCCCTTCCTGAAATATCCCCCACCGAATGTGCGTGGTGCTCCCTTCCTGAAATATCCCCCACCGAATGTGCGTGGTGCTCCCTTCCCAAGATATCCCCCACCGAGTGTACGTGGTGCCCCCTTCCCAAGATATCCCCCACCGAATGTGCGTGGTGCCCCCTTCCCAAGATATCCCCCACCGAATGTGCGTGGTGCTCCCTTCCTGAAATATCCCCCACCGAATGTGCGTGGTGCTCCCTTCCTGAAATATCCCCCACCGAGTGTGCGTGGTGCTCCCTTCCTGAAATATCCCCCACCGAGTGTGTGTGGTGCTCCCTTCCTGAAATATCCCCCACCGAGTGTGTGTGGTGCCCCCGTCCCAAGATATCCCCCACCGAGTGTACGTGGTGCCCCCTTCCCAAGATATCCCCCACTGAGTGTGTGTGGTGCCCCCTTCCTAAGATATCCCCCACCGAGTGTGTGTGGTGCCCCCTTCCCAAGATATCCCCCACCGAGTGTACGTGGTGCCCCCTTCCCAAGATATCCCCCACCGAGTGTACGTGGTGCCCCCTTCCCAAGATATCCCCCACCGAGTATACGTGGTGCCCCCTTCCTGAAATATCCCCCACCGAGTGTGTGTGGTGCCACCTTCCCAAGATATCCCCCACCGAGTGTACGTGGTGCCCCCTTCCCAAGATATCCCCCACCGAGTATACGTGGTGCCCCCTTCCTGAAATATCCCCCACCAAGTGTGCGAGTGGTGCCCCCTTCCTGAAATATCCCCCACCGATTGTACGTGGTGCCCCCTTCCCAAGATATCCCCCACCGAGTGTACGTGGTGCCCCCTTCCCAAGATATCCCCCACCGAGTGTACGTGGTGCCCCCTTCCCAAGATATCCCCCACCGAGTGTACGTGGTGCCCCCTTCCCAAGATATCCTCCACTGAGTGTGTGTGGTGCCCCCTTCCTGAAATATCCCCCACCGAATGTGCGTGGTGCTCCCTTCCTGAAATATCCCCCACCGAATGTGCGTGGTGCTCCCTTCCCAAGATATCCCCCACCGAGTGTACGTGGTGCCCCCTTCCCAAGATATCCCCCACCGAATGTGCGTGGTGCCCCCTTCCCAAGATATCCCCCACCGAGTGTGCGTGGTGCCCCCTTCCTGAAATATCCCCCACTGAATGTGCGTGGTGCTCCCTTCCTGAAATATCCCCCACCGAATGTGCGTGGTGCTCCCTTCCTGAAATATCCCCCACCGAATGTGCGTGGTGCTCCCTTCCTGAAATATCCCCCACTGAATGTGCGTGGTGCTCCCTTCCCAAGATATCCCCCACCGAGTGTACGTGGTGCCCCCTTCCCAAGATATCCCCCACCGAGTGTGCGTGGTACCCCCCTTCCTGAAATATCCCCCACCGAATGTGCGTGGTGCTCCCTTCCTGAAATATCCCCCACCGAATGTGCGTGGTGCTCCCTTCCTGAAATATCCCCCACCGAATGTGCGTGGTGCTCCCTTCCCAAGATATCCCCCACCGAGTGTACGTGGTGCCCCCTTCCCAAGATATCCCCCACCGAATGTGCGTGGTGCCCCCTTCCCAAGATATCCCCCACCGAATGTGCGTGGTGCTCCCTTCCTGAAATATCCCCCACCGAATGTGCGTGGTGCTCCCTTCCTGAAATATCCCCCACCGAGTGTGCGTGGTGCTCCCTTCCTGAAATATCCCCCACCGAGTGTGTGTGGTGCTCCCTTCCTGAAATATCCCCCACCGAGTGTGTGTGGTGCCCCCGTCCCAAGATATCCCCCACCGAGTGTACGTGGTGCCCCCTTCCCAAGATATCCCCCACTGAGTGTGTGTGGTGCCCCCTTCCTAAGATATCCCCCACCGAGTGTGTGTGGTGGTGCCCCCTTCCCAAGATATCCTCCACCGAGTGTACCTGGTGCCCCCTTCCCAAGATATCCCCCACCGAGTGTGTGTGGTGCCCCCTTCCCAAGATATCCCCCACCGAGTGTGTGTGGTGCCCCCTTCCTGAAATATCCCCCACCAAGTGTACGTGGTGCCCCCGTCCCAAGATATCCTCCACCAAGTGTGTGTGGTGCCCCCTTCCCAAGATATCCCCCACCGAGTGTGCGTGGT